ATTTTAAAAATATAAAGATTTATCGATAAATATTTCGATTAATTAAAAAACATATATTTAGATTTAAATTATATTATTAAAATAATAAAGTTTTTATAAAAGCTTAGTTTTAATTAATTAAAAAAATATTATAGCTTTACATTATTAAGTACGATTATAAAAGCCGTATATTTATTAAATATTTATTTATTTTATTATTTTTTTTATTATATTTTTATTTATAAAAATTATTTTACGTTTAATTAAAAAAAAAACTAATAATTAAATATTTATAAAATCGAAATTTAATTTATAAAATTTTCGTTAAGTTCGTAAAAGTTTCGTTAGTTTTTAATTTTAAAAATAAAATAAATAAAAAGCTTCGTTTATATATATATCGTATTTTTTATAATAAAAATAATTAAAAACTTTTCGCGTAATAACGTTATTATTTTTAAGTTTTTTAATTTCGTTTTATAACTTAAATAATATAAAATAAAATAAATAATAATACGTATATTTTTAATATAATTAACTTTTTAATATTTATATTAAGTCCGGTTTATTTATTAAATAAACGTATATATATAATTTTAATATTTAGTGATAAATAATTATTATTTAAAAAAATAAGTTATAATATTTATTTATAATAATTTATTTATTAAATAATTATATATTTAAAAGTTATTTATTTTATTAAAAAATATTTAAAATTAAAAAAACGTAAACTTAAATTATTATTTAAAAATAAAATTTCGAGCGTAAAAAAAGTTTATTAAATATCGATTTTTTTTTAAGTTAATAATTAAAGGTTTATAAAATTAAAATTAAGTTTATAAAGTTTTTGTAAAAGTTTTATTTACGGTTAATTTTAAAAATAGTATAAATAAAAAATTTTATTTATATATATATCGTATTATTTATAAAAAAAATAATTAAAAGTTTTTCGCGTAATAACGTTATTATTTCGTAATTTTTTAATTTCGTTTTATAATAAAATTAATTATTATAATTTTTATTATTGTTATTATTATTATTACGAAAAAATTATAAAAATATAAAAGATAATATTTTTAATAAATTTAAAAAACGATGTTATATATTAATAATAATATTTTAAAGTAATTAAATTTATATTTAACGTAGTTTTTATTAAGTAAGTACGTACTTAATTTTATTAATAATACCGTTTTTTTTATATTTTCTTTTTTTTCGCTTTCCGGTAAAAAAAATATAATATAAACCGTTACGGCGTATATTTAAAAATATAAATTATTAAATAAGTTATAAAAATTTTATATTTAAATATAAAATATAAAATTTAATTTAACATGTTTAATATATTTTTAATAAAACTTTAAAATAATTATATAAATAACGATCCTTTAACGTTAATATTTATTATTATTATTATTATTATTTCGTTTAATAAAAAAAAAGAATTAAATTAAACACGTTAAATTAATAAATAACCTTTTTTAAAAATTAAATATTAACCGTAAGAAAAATAATATTAAAAATTTAAATAATAAAAAGATAAATAATAATTAATAAAAATCGTTTGATTTTTATTTAAATATTATTATATTTATAAGTTTTTTTAAATATTATCGTACTTTATATTTAAATAAAACTCATTGTTAAAATAAGATATATTCATTTTAAAATAAGTTAAAAATTTAATATAATAAACATCGATTTTTCTTAATTACTTTTTAAAAATTAAATGTTTAAAATAAAAGGTTTTATAATTTTAATATTTAATAATATTTATTTAAAAAAGAAAAAAAAATTCGAATATAAATAATTAAATAATTTATTTTTTTTTTAAAAGTTTATAATTTTTTTTATAATAAAACGATTAATTTTATTAACGTCGATTCGTGTTAAACTTCGAATAATTACTTAAATATAACGTTAAAATAAGAAAATTAATTAAATAAGTAAATTATAAAATTCGAATATTAATATAAAATTAAAAAATAAAATAAAAAATAAATAATATATAATATATATTTAATAAAAAGTAAAAATAAATTATATTTTTCTTTAAGTTTAATAAATATTTACTTATATAGTTTTTACTTTATTTTCTCTTTTATTAATAAGTTATAAAATTTAATAATAAAAGTTAACATCGTTTTTTCGTTTTAATTTATTAAATTAAAAACTTTATAAAAAAAAAAATATTTTTATTTATAATAAATATATATTTACTTAAGTATTAAAAATATTATTATTAAACATTAATAACGTTTTATAAACTATAAAACATAGTATAAGTTCCATATATACTGTTTATTAATACTATATACATTTTAATACATTAATTGAATTGGCGGGTTGGCAGATACGGGCTTATGGTCCACCCTAGCTATCGAGGTTACTCATTGTTCACTCACCTGGATTGACGTTTTTGGAGTCTGTATGATCGAGACGCTATGCATGCATGTTTCACGTCTTTCGTCGAATCTGTATGGCCGCCGTAGAGGCCGACGACTCATAAAAAAGCTCCACAGACCCCCTCCTTTTCACCAACAGGGTACAAGACCCGGCTTCGATGGTGTATGCGACAAAATAACCTCGTATGTGCCATTGTGCCTTGGCCGGCAATTGGAGACATAGGTTAGGCGACCCCGTAGCTTTCCATGCCTGCATGAAGTGGGATAGAAACCACATATCCGGCTTCAAAGTTGCAAAGTTGCAGAAGCAAACTGGTGGATTTGATGTAGTTGAAGAAATCAAGCAGTCAATCAATCATTCCGCATTGATTTATGTGGGATGTTAAGATAGGTCATTTGATGTCTTGTGTTGAAAAGCGGAGCGGTTGGAAAAGAGGGTGTGAGGGAATGCTCACGAGGCTTCTGTCTCTGTTGCCGACAGCCTTGTGTCCCGTGATAGGACCCATCGCAACGAGTAGATATAATTCCGTATTAATGATGAAGATTGAAGATACTTGGGGGATTTCAGCCGAATTGGAGTTGACATGATTATTATGGTATACAAGGTAGGTATGATAAGATACCTAGCTTAGAAAAGATTGGAAAATGTTGAGACTATTAATCTACAAAATATATTTGATATTTAATATCGGTATTGACCTATGTGATTCATATGGAAGTGACAGATGCTGACCTAGCGTGGAAGGGAAAGAAAAGAAACTTAACTTTATTTAAGGTTAAGTTAAGGGATCTGGCGAACTTGAAGCTTAAACATGGGTATAATGAGATGTATACTACACATGTAACGCGTGGGTGAACTCGTGATTCTGAGATGCTGCAGTGTCAGAGATCCTTGAATCGAACGTGTTTACATTGTCTTTCTTGTTGCAGTAGATGGTAGATTTTCATGGTTGATGACGATGATGTTCGAGCTTCCCGCTTCTCGTTGCCCCGTGCACCATAACATATTTTTTTTATGATGGGGTTTCAATAGTTGTACGGTAATAAAAGTTATGTTACTTTGTATCGTACTGTACGGAATTACAGGGTTATGGGGTCCTAGGGCTGGCCTAAGCTCGCATTTATACCCTGAGGTATACTCTGAAGAACAGGCCAATTAATGCTCCGAGCACAGTGTAAATCTAATTTTAATTCGTTGGAGCCAATAGGCTTGCACTAAGTTTACCTTGCAAGCCACGACGGCCCCCCCTTCCTTTCCAACTAGCAGCTGCAACTGATTGATAGTTTCCAATGATAATGTATGGGAAGGTATGGGAAGTATGAGAAGTGTGGGAAGTACCCAAGTACCGGACCCGATACCACCTGGCACCTGCCTGCCATGCTCCTTATCACTCACTCCAGGGCTCCCATCATAATAAATTTCGTGCTGTTTAAACTTCTGACGTTTTGTTTTTGTTACCAGGTTGCTAGGTTGCTGGGTTCTTTAAGTCTCCATAGTCCTTTATCCCCCGTCAACTATCGACGGTTCCACCATCTTTACCCATCTTACCCATCTTACCCAATCAAGCGTCCCCCCCTTCTTCCCCCCTGCGTCCCTGGGAATCATTCAAGTGCCAAGTTTCCATACCTGCTACATGCTTGACGAGTTGACAGAAAAAAAATCTAGCTTGATATTTTTCTTCATCTCTTCTCGAAATTTACCAATACTACCTAATAACATATCATCTCATTATATCGACTTGATGGTTCTCATCTTCTCATAAGGCATTTTGCCATAATCTCCTTTCCCCCTTCTCTATTTCTACTCCTGCATATTCTTGCGACACCTGGGTATATCTCCATCTTATCCCGCGGCATACTCCGAGTTGCTGTGCCGTTCCTTGTTGTACCTATAAGAGTATATCTCCTCACCATCATTCTACATTCTGATTGGTCTTCTCGTTTTCGACCTGCACTATTATTCTGCCGCACCAAGATCTCGACAACAGCTTTATTAAGGTGCCAAACAGATTCAGTTACCTATACTACTCCAGCTGACTCCCCTAACTCCTTACTACCTAGGCCTAATAGGTAGCTGACTTATCCACTACCTGACATAGGGGAGATACATACCCCTCTAAGGAAATTTAGAGTGGACTATATCTCGTACTGTTAGGTTGGTAACTTTTAGGTCAGCCAGTCGACCTTTATTGTTGCTGCTACCCATCCGATACTCGACCTGATAGGTATTGGCTTTGAGCTTCTGCTTCAGTCGACCATCCAATCTTGTTACGTATCGAGTGCGCCGAGACCTCTCTAGCTGTTATTAGGAATCGCAAGAGGTTCCCCGGTTGACCCATCACCGCCTCACTCACTTATTTATACCCTTGCCAAAATTTACCCCCTACAGCCTACAGCATACAGCCTACTTGGAAAAGTCGCTCTATTGGACCTAAACGTTTTGCGCGTCGCGTGCGAGCACAGCCTCCATTCCCTCACTACAAGCCATTTACCACAAAACGCCATCGGAAAAAAAGAAAACTCAGTTAGCAATAGCCATTATTTTGACTTTGTCTCCGACGAAGCTCTGTTGCCAAAGCGATTCTGAGTTTTTTTTTTCTGAAGTGTTTCTATCAAGAGGCGCTAAACATTCCAGGACTAGCCCTTGGCCTATTTTGGCGGAAGAGGAGGAATTAAAATAATAAAAAAAAGGCGAAGAAAAAATAAAAGTGAAAGAAAAGAAAAAACCCGACTTACCCAGGTTGGAAGGGTCCCTGCGGTCAAGCCCGCAATTCTTCGCCGCCTTTTTTCAACTTGCCCTCGCTGCAGGCCAATTTTTTTTCTCCACCGCAATCACTTTCAGGACAGGTCCAAGTCCCCTTTCTAGAGGTTTGAGGACCTATCATATATACCTTGGAAAGATTTGGCAACCTCCCAGTGGTACAACAACATCAAATATTCGGTATTTCAGCTCCGTCACGGCGTACTACCCGACTTAATCTCTCGGCTTCCTGCATTTTACTGCACAGCCAATCCTGCCTAACTTTTTCAGCCAACCAGCCATAACTATCCGTTGTCCCATCGACCGACACTACCTATCTTTTCTGCCGAACACCTTCGCTTTCTGAGAGACACTGCGACTTTGACGAAGACGCTTTGTCTCTTCCCTCGTCTCTTGTCTCTTCAGAGACTAAGGAGAAGTCGCCAGTTCGAGTTCGGACATCGCCGACATCATCTAGGCGTTTTTCGCCTATCTATATACGCGTAATAAAGGGAGCTGCAGCCTGCTGGCTCCCATCAGCAGCTGCCTCAGCCCTCAATATTGTTGTGGCAACCATGAATCAACAACACGATATGTATTACGATTATCCGAACACGGCAAACCGGTCGCCGGGGTCGACAAGACAAGGTTATGCTACCGTTGGTCTACCCTCCGGTCTTGGTAATCGGTCGGGACAGAGGCCGCTCGAGTCTCTTAATCAGCATATGGGATCCCCTTCCTTATACGGACATGACGATCGAATCGGTGGCGGTGCAGGATATGAATCGCTGTCTAGATTCGACCGCGTCGCACCTAGTGGTATGCAATCTGGTTACATGTTGGAGAACAGTCAGACGTGGGGATATAATGGCGGAGTAGCTACTATGAACGGCCCCATGAATGGTAACGGTAGGTTAGCGGTGAGGGCTGTAAATCGCCGAGCCGCTCTACCTACGGTGAGTACCCCCTTCGCGTTTTTAGAATATGGAGAATTGTCGCTGATCAGAATATGAAACATTAGAATTGGACTGATCAATCAGGCTTGGGCGTCCATTCTATGCCTCAACTATATGACCCGAATATGTCGATGAATGGGAATGATCATGATCTATCTAGCATGGCCGGTTCTGCTGCTGATGCTCGGGGAATGATGGCTACTCCTGGAGCGTCCGATTCCGAGCAGCTTATTCCTACAGCTATCGTTATCAAGAATATCCAGTTCCAGTGTCGTAAGGAGATCCTTCAAGGCCTTATGGCTTCGATGAATCTCCCTCAACCGTATGCGTTTAACTACCACTTCGATAAGGGTGTTTTCCGAGGACTTGCTTTCGCCAACTTCTCAACTGCCGAGGACACTGCCGTTGTAATTCAGAAGATGAATGGGTTGGAGGTTATGGGTAGGAAGTTGCGCGTTGAATACAAGAAGATGCTTCCGCAAGATGAGCGCGACCGGATCGATCGGGAGAAGCGTGAAAAGCGAGGTCAACTTGAGGAACAACACAGAGCGCCGCTTCCTATGCACCAACAAAGCGCGCTTCAGGCTCTTGGTGTGAGCGTTAACAAGCAACCAAGTAATTCTCCTTTACGTGAGTTTCTCGAGATCATGCTGCTCGGAGACAACGACTTTGCTAACAAATCTTGTAGGAGATGTTGACCTAAATGACCCAACTACACTTGAGTTTTATACGCAGCTTACTCTCTTCAAGAGCGATCCGTCCCGCGAAGTCCATATCTTCTCCCCCGACGTTACCCCCGAGCAGCGACGGCAGATACATATCCTTGCCCATAATATGGGCTTGGAGCACAGATCCGTTGGCGAAGCTGATCGAAGGCAGATCCAGATCATGAAGCGACCGCAGAACTCGCCCCCCGTCCATGCCCAGAGCCAGCTCCCTAACGTCTCTTGGGAAGACCACCGACGTGGCCTAAGTCGTGCTGCTACGTACGACTTCACTGAGTCCCGCATTGGATCTAGCGCCTACCACGCTCTTGGTAGACAGGGCCCAACGTTGGAGCTCCCTGGTAGCCCAGACACCGGCATACCGAATAACCTTAGGGCTGCTAAGAGCTTCGCGGATCTGCGCACGCATAGCCCGAGCCCTGCGCCGTCCGGTTCGAGCTATGCTGGCCTTGGAAATGGCCTCGGGGCCCGCTATGGTGACTTTTCCCAAACCTCGTTGACCACGCCGCCCAATTTAACCCCGACATCAGGTCAGAATGCGGCTTCGAGTACCGACGCCTTATTGGCGAATAACATGAGCTCTATAAGTCTAGGATTTGACTCGAGCGCTTCGCACATACGTGCCAGGGAGACGCCTGGGGCTATCGGAAGTCAAAGGCCTGGAGCGAATGGAACAGGTAACCGCAATGCTCCCGATAGACAACCTCGAGGTCCGGAATGGGGAGAGGCTGGTCAAGGTTTCGGTGGACGTACCCGTGGTCATATGCAAAGAGGTAGCGGTTAGTAATGACTTCGGATGTTTGATGGTGTTATTAGTACTGACCTGGCCCACACACAGATTCGTCAGATGCAGGACGTAGCGCTGGCACTGCTCGTTACCATTGATACAACTGTTTCTATAAAATACGACATGAAGGACATGGGAAGCAACGATAAGCCGTGAGCCGCATGGACCTAGACGCTTCTCGAATGATTTTCCAATTCCTTCTAGCTTTGCTTTACTGCTCATCGCTATGGCATAGGCTTCAATTCTTGGGATTGGCAAAAAAGGCACGACGGTCACGACGTTTTGAAACCTCGGCTTCTTTTGCATCACCCCATCGACCAATCCGCCTCCACGACGAGCGTTGGATCTCCGTCATCACAAGTACAACACAACGAGAGACGACTTATGACATAGACTTATTGCCTTCATTGACCTGACGCCAAGGTTCGGCCTGTCGCAGCACGATTTTTTCGCATCTCGATCGATACTTCGACTCGCATTGTTTTTTAATCTCTTTTTCATGCCGACGATTTCCGCTAATAATATCTTGTAATATGAGATTTGATTTTGATTATTGTTTTATTCGACTTCCATCTTAACTTTCTCAGGCCGTCCTGGATTGGGAAAGAACTGCAAGATGATGGAGTTTGCGATGGTGAAAGGTTGCAGTGTTGCATGGAAAAGAAAAATTTAAGGGGAACAATGGTGCACATCGTTCCATTTTTACAATACCCTCATCACGATGATCGACAAATGAACCATCTCTGGATACACCATACAGCAATTTATGGGCGACCATTCACGGCATCACGACTTGAACTCCTATACCCTCCGAGGTGTCTTGGGGTCTTGACGGCTTCCGAGGGGAGGTTGTCAAGCCTGGAGAACCTCTTTACGATGGTTACGCTGTTATGACGCATATGCACATCACTAGATGGCAAAGCGATGCTGGCTGGCCAATTAACCCGGGCGAATCCCTACTAATTACTGTTCCGAGGAGCAATCTACGGGGCATCCCTGGTAAATAAAGGTCAGCGTAGCTTCGGAGCGACTGACTGGAAACGACGAACGAAGCAATGAAGACGAAGACAGCAAGATAAAAATTTCATTGCTGAGCAAGGAATTTGTGTTTTCACTGGAGGACAGAACAGAACGAGGGCGGACGGGACAAGAAGATCAGATAAAATTATTTGCATTTGTATATGGTTATTTGCGCCGCATCGACTACGCTACGTTGAGGTTTTTCGTCTTTTACTCCTTTAAACCGCATACCATCCCGACCTCTACCTGCGTAATTCGGCTCGGCGCTTCCTGTCTAATGAATTATAGCGTCCAAGGACGATGCATTTCATTCAGGAGTTTGCGGAAGACCCTCAGTCTTGGGTCGGGGAAGTATTAATCATTGGACTAGGGAGAGACATTCGCTATAGGCGCCCTACTGCAATACAAAAGTATTTGATCGTTTTTCAACCTTGAGATTTCTACGTGATGCGGTACCAGACGGCTTCGGCTCAAATGAAGTTGAAGGACACATTTATTCCGACAGAGTCTGGACTCTTTTCTGTGTGTGAAGTGAGTGTAAATTTGGGGCTAGCTGACTCAACTAGATGACTCGTATAGCGGACTCCGTTCGCATATCCCCTTAGTCATTCATATAGGCACGACCCTCCACTTTACTTCGCCAGGCGCACAAGTCATTGATCCCTCCACGCCGTTCTTCCCACCCGAGGCTTTAGCGGCATCGATAGCGGACCCGAGCACATCGACGACATCGGTCCCCCCGATGTATACCTGATCGCTTGACGGCGGTGTTGCAGGCTGTACTTGGAACGCACATTCACCTGACGTGAGTAGCGTGTTGAAATTGTCTGTCGAATACGTCGCTAGGAGGTAATCTCGATTCGAAGCGACCTGGGCATCGCGAAGGGAAGTACAACCGTCAAGCCAGGTTGATGAGGTGGTGCTGGCGGATGCGACTATGGAGAGCGTGGTGGGTCCGCAGTAGTTGGATGGATCGCCCGGTTGGGTTTCCCATGCCCAACACGACGGTGGGTTCGTCGGCGGAGAGGGGTACGGGTATAGACTGCAGGTCGAGCTGGAGTCGTCCGGGGAGGTTGTCGTAGGGCTTGTTGGGAGGCTGAGGACTGTGCTGGGGAGGATGAGGGAGGGGAGGATGTGGTGGAGATGCATTTTGGGTGCGGGAATGGGGGGTTCGGATTTGCTGGTATTGGGCTTTGCTTTGCTGGGTTATCGATGGGGTTTTATAGATGCTGTTGTATATGTAGGTAGGTATTGGATGTTTGTATTTATATCATGGGATGAGGGGACGCAGTGATGCATGTGGAACTATCTCTACATCCTCGGTGAACTTATATATCCGTCATTGTACGTCCCATGACCCCAAACCATCACTAACAAAAAATTACCTAAATAGCCCAACGTGATGCGTTCCTCCAGATCCGCGATGGGAACACATCTCCCACCTCACCTCGTCGTTGTTGTGGCCCCGGACCCCAATTCAATTCCTAAGGGGGCCAACCAACCAATGCACGCACGGGCTCGTCACACAAATCAGCAGCAACGTAAGTACGAAGTACCTACATTTTATGTTTAGGAAAATTAAAAAAGATCTCCGCCGCCCAAACCTGGGAGCTGGATCTGCCCGACCAATTACGACGGCGGACGCGCGGGCGCGGACCCCATGGACGTGTCCAATTAGAGCCCTTACTCTCGATGATCGTCGTTGCGTCGTTGCTTGGGCGGCTAAGGGGCGTGCGGATTGTTTTTTCTGGACTAATGCTGATGGTAGGTGAGACGCGGGCTGGCGGGTTCGGCTGGGTGATGTCGTTGGTTGGATTCTGGGTTGACTAATGGGATGGATGGAGAGATGGATGGATTGATTGGGGATGATGATGGGATGATTGATTGATCGAGGGGTGATCCAATAGTAGAGATCAATTATGATATAGCGATGTTATAGTATCATAGCACATCCCGCTGAACCGATGGGGAACCGGTGTGGGTTAGGTTAAGTTGGAGTTTATCTGGGAGGAATATTGGCGATTCTACTCATTCATGGCTGTTACTAAGAGGTCTAAGTGTACATTACGGTACGTGCTATGGTACGTGCCGTGCCACACCCCCTGCCCTGTCTTCGATACGATACCTTGGACTTAACGGGAAATCATATTTGCTTTTTTAATGCTTTTTTTGGTTTCCTATTAGGGGTTAATGTGTGACTTGCATCCCGAGTCTGCATGACCTCACTCTTTTACGGGAACTATTGACGGAATAGAATTCTCAACACTTCAAGGCTGGACATTTGACCAACGTGCATTTATTGAGATGACTCGATCTTGCCCTATCATACGCTGCAGACTTAGTTAATCTATTAGGAGCGAAGTATTCATATCTATCTGGGTACCTACATGTGTACCTAGTAGGTAGCGTGTAAGGGGTAGCTGAAGCTGACATGTACCGAGCTAGTAATGACGATAATAATGACGATGGGATTGACGGCGACGTAACACAGCATAAGACATCCAAAGTACCTGCAGAAGTAGATATACATTAATATTTATGTCTAAGGGTATATTGATACGTCCAGTCTATTTTATTACGCCCATACCGTGCCGCCCGATGTCGTCGCGTCGACTCCTATCCTCACGACACCGGAGGCACCTCTAATCTCGCCAAATTCATATTTCAAATTCATCTCCTTGACATGCCAGTCCCTATCGCGGCGTTTCATCGCGCTCAGGCCCTCGAAGCGGGCGAGCATCCACGAGTCGCACACGTAATACATGGCCCCCGCGATAGTGCTCGGGTCTACGGGCATGTGCGGCCACGCGACGAAGAACGAGCCAACGACCACGAGCACCATGATGCAGAGGATGCCAACAGCGGACCACGTGCAGATGTTGTGGATTAGGAAGGTCTGGGTGACGCGGAAGGGCACGTTACTGAGGAAGATAGTCAGGAATTCCGAGAGGATCGATGTCACCGCCACAACGGCGAGGAAACTATGTCGTCGACGAATCGCCGACCAAAGACCCGAGAATGCGTTGGTTGGTGGCGCGAGCAGAATCGAGCGTCCCGCCTGCTGAGGTGAGCTGGCGAGGAGTTGGTAAGGGCTTAGGACCGCGATGCCTTGTGGATTGTTAGTTGGAAGATTCTATACCCAAATAGGTGTTGTCCCTGATAAGACAGAAAGGGAAAAGGGGTCCAATAAAGGGAAAGAAGACTTACTGCTAAAGAACGAAGCCCAGAAGAAACTGATAATCACACCAACACCGGTGAACAAGAACCGCACCCCGAAAGATTCACTATCCATGAATCTCTCAAACGGTGTATCGCCACCAGTGTTATTGTAATACAATATTAGAGCCAACAACCCACACAGCACGAACAAAAACATCAACCGACCTGCATACCCCAACATCAAAAAGGGCAAATGATGCTTCGCAGCTGTAGGGGCCGCGTGATGATCCATCGGCTCCTTGACGTCGCCCCCAACCAGCATAGGCACATTGCCACTGTCGCCACGCAACATAATCCCGTACTCAACCGTTCCATTCACGCCACGGAAATAATCCAACTTAAACCAGCGATCCTCCAGCACGCTCTCCAAAAGCCCCTTCGGCATCTTCCCCGCATCGCTACCCGCAGGCAAACTTGTAAATAAGCGTCTAACGTCCGGGTTCAAGGCCAGCGATGCCGTTCCGCATATACTCCAGGGATTCGTGCTGACGCCCGATTTCCAGCGCACGAGTTGCGCGAGGATAGCTAGGGTAGCGATCCCCATGATTCCGAGAAGCGCTATGGTGGCTTTGGCCGCCTGGTCGAATACCGCGAGCACGTACGCGCAGTTTTTTGCAGACCCGCTGCCCTCAACGCACCCGTGGCCCTTTAAATCAAATGCCACAGCTTCGGCTGACAGCGGGATTAGCAGCGCCGATACGAGAACCAGGATCGAGGTTAGGAAGACGAGAGCCTGCCCCCCGGCTAGCGAACGCAGGCTGGAGAGGATGGATTGCCAGCCCGAGGTGTCGAGAATGAGGGACTCACGGCCAGGGGCACCGCCGCGGGAGTGGGTGAGTTCGTGCCATGGCTGGAGGATCTTGGCGTTTACGTCGAGGATGCGAATTGGGATCGCGAGGAGGATGGCTAGAAGGGTGGGGAGGAACATGCCGATGAAGTAAGAGCCGTAGCTGATGGTGTAGACTTTGATGTTCTGGTTGTTGTTGTCGGAGTTTTTGCTCGAGGGGAGGGAGGGGTAGTACGTTGCCGTGGCAGTGGGCACGCCCTGCGAGTCAGTCTGGATGCTGATGGAGGGGGTGACGAGGACATGGGTTTCTTGCGTGGCTGTGGGTTGCCCTTGGGAGTCTGTTAGGGTGACTGTTTGAGGTGTTGAAACAGGTGCTGGAATGCTTGTCGAAGTTATCATTATGCCTGCTGAATCTGTCGTGGTGGCCACAACAGGTGTTACGAAGGTGGGTATTTGGGGTTCCGTCGTTGAGACTGTAATGGTTCCCACGATTCCATGATCTGAGGAGGGCACGGTTGCTGTGATTTCATTCGAGACCGTCTTTGATCCAACATTGCCGAAGTCTTCGCTTGCCTTCGAAGACGCTATTGTCGGTTTTGGTCTCGTGCTTTCTGAGACGGTTACGGTCCCTCCAGCGTTGCCGAAGTCGCTCTTTGGCCTAGACCACGCCGGCAAGGTAGTAGACATAGATGTACCTCCATTGGTCGTACGCGCCGCTGATGTGGTTAGGGGAGCTGGTTCTGTAACGGTTTGGGCACCCACATGCCCAAAGTCACCCGCGGCTGGTGACAAGGTTTCCGATGGCTGAGACCAAGATTGAGAGGTAGTCCGGGAGGCGGGCTGGGAGGCAGGTTGCGAGGCAGGTTGCGAGGCAGGCTGAGAGGTAGGCTGAGAGATTGACTGAGAGATTGACTGGGATATTGACTGGGAGATTGACTGAGAAGCAATCTCGGTGGTCACGGCGCGACCAACCACAGAGTCGTCGTTAAAATGGGGAACAAAGGCAGCCGAGTCCAAGATCGGACCTTGGATATCTCTTGCACTGAGAGCACTGATAATGTCAAGCTCACTATTAACAACAGGTAAAACGTGTAGAGCCCACGCAACCAACCCCACCAAAGCTAGTATAACGAATAGTAAAGTCGTCAAGAATGGCCATCGTAATGCTGATGGCTTGTAATTTGGACGTTCTCGATCCATGAGTAACGGGGCATCCATGGAAATTTCGCTGTAGATGACCATGTCGGGTTTATAGGCCGTTGACATTGATGCTTCGCTGTAGTCCATCCTTGAGTTGGATCGTGACCGGTTACTATGGTACTCAGGAGGGCCCTCGTCCTCAATTGTAGATCCGATAGGGGCCTCATAGTGCGCTTCGGCATATCGGCGGTCAGATCCTCGAGCCCTATGGTCGCCATATTCATCTAGCCCGTCAAAAACCCCTGGGCTCCCATTTCGATTATGCGACTGAGGAATAGCATCAAATGCTCCCCTCCCACGCGGTGCTGTGCTCATATGCGACATCGTGTCGTCTTTGCTCAATAGTTCCTCTATCCCTCTCAAACCATTTTCAAATCAACGTAGTGGTATGCCCCTAGGGGGCTTCCAAGGTCTAGGCGAGAGAATATAGACCTAACTCCATCATAAATCGTAAGATGGGGCATGCGTGGTTGATATTCCTTTTGTAAACCCGCGGCGAAGTGATGCCGTCAATGCGCTGTTACATTAGAGTACCAGGGCAGGCATGAGTTCATAGGCTATCCTCTTCCCTCTCATCTATTTCAGTGGTTGAGAAGTCTTGGCATATTTCAGCTCTCCATACAGGCGGCCTTGACTTCACCAAATAACTGGGGAAGATCGCCTGGCGTCTTGCTGATCAGCGCATCTAGCTGATTCTCTAACGCAAAGCCTTATATTAGTGTACGTGTGCCGACGATCAGATTCACCGCTTAGTCAGAAACCACATTTCGAGGTTCGAGACGCTGCACGCAAAGACTTTTAATAGTGTTGTTTAGTGGGAAACGGTCGTTGTGGTTTATTGGGTAGGTACCTACCTTTCGAAGAGCCCGCATCAGAGTTTAGTTCTGAGGCGTCGACGCTACTGCAGGCTCTTCTCGCAAGACAGCCCTAGAGGTGCTCACTATTTAACCCTTGACCATAACATTCTTTCGAAGCGATGAAGGCGCATTCAACATGACAACGAAACAGATTCATCGAATCTTGAATTAGAAAACAGGACTAGTTGTGCGGCTGATGGCAAATGAACTAAGATCGTGGAAATGTCTTGGCGTAAGATATCGTGGTATGGTCAAGGGTTAAATAGTAGCCCTACAGGGCACCGCCGAACAACCGTTTGAGTCTTAGTCAGACAGGATTCAAAATCGTGATTTGCTAGGACTACAAGTCGTAGTCTACGGCTCGTATGATAGGTCCTATTCCTCATTCCTAACAGCAATCGTTCTTGTTTACGCACACTTAAATTATAGCAAAATGTCGACGAAATCAACATCGCCATTAAGGTTTTTGTTCTTAACCGAGGGCGTCATGAAACTCATGGGGGGGTTGGTATTCGTGGTCTCTCCCCAAACTCCCTTATCCGTGGCGGTGGCTGCTCCCATTCCGCCGTCAGCTCGTCTCCTAGCGCGACTTTTGGGTACGCAAACCTTTACATTGGGTATTTCCATGCTTCTCGCATCTACCAAAACGCCGAAAGCAGTATCAAGTAGACGGATCGTTTATTGGACGGTATTCGCGAGGGATGCGACACTGGTAACGGTGCTCACGTTACAACTGTTATTCGGCGAAAATAGCGACGCTTTGGGGTTCTCGGCAAAGGGACTACGTGCGTGGCTTGCGGAGTTGATGCCCTTTTGCTTGGGTCACTTGTGGATTCTTACCACGAAACCACATTGGTTCTGATGGCGATGACTTCTCCACAAGGCTTGATGCATTGGGTACTGGATTTCTCGCATCAACCAGCATTCGAGTGTGGTCTCGTTGAACATTCGAGGAGTCCGAGACTCCATAAATAGCACCCAACAAGATCGGGGAGAGAAGCGTAAATGTAATAGAAACCCACTCCTATTCCGTATAGGATCTCCATCTTTCTTTCGTGAAAATCAATGGGGAGTTTGATTGTTTATGTAGTCGAAGTAGGAGATCGAAAGGTGTTAAGGAAGGAAGTGGTTCTTACTGATTCCATGCTGGCGTTCGAATAACCTTTTAGCGTTCAGGCAAAGATGGAAAGTACCCTGTGAGGTAGGTACAGCCTACACTACGTGGGGTATTTTTCATGAATCTGGCAACAGGTCTCTAGGTAAACTTGCAGACTGCACTTACCCGCCTGCCCGCACACATTACAACGATATCAACTTCTGCTTGAGTATCTCTTTTAGAACCATGACTCTTCCTTTGTAACCGATTCTTTTGTCGTCATCTCATCTATGCGCATCCTGTGTGCCCCGCACACATACAGTTTCTAGCCAATCTGCGCACAGACCCTGGAATAGGAAATATAGGGTGCTTTATCCGGCCTAAAATCAACCCGAAAGATGAGATGGGTCTTGGTCCTCCTGGCGCAATGGTAGCGCGTTAGACTTCTAATCTAAAGGTTGCCGGTTCGAGCCCGGCGGGGGATGCATTTATTTTTCGACGTCCGTCTATTTCATACCCCCTCTTATAAGAGGCGGCTTTCTTTTTTTAATTTCAATTCAAAAACGTATCAGTCCAAATACCACAGCAGGCGGTTCAATTAATAAAAGGTGCATGCAGTCCTTAACAATTATTCCGCGACCCATACCTTAGACGAGTATTAATTCGCGACTTCTTGATACGTGCGTCTGTTTGGGGGGTGGGTTCTTCTGCGAGATATTTTACAGGTCCGATACGTCATTTTTCTTAATCAACTATTAACAGATCAACGTTCCCCTAATACGGCGACAAATAATCTATCATTAGATATCGTTGTTAAAGGACATAGGTTAATAGCTTGATATAAGGGAACCTCATCAATGCAATAATTTGAGGGCAATGCTTCGCGTGCACATGTGGTTTATCATATGACGTGTCTCCGCCGGCGCTAAGTGAAAGGGAGAGTTGCATCGAAGCTGACATGAGTACTAGGTGTATGTGGTGGTGGGCTTATCATCAACGCAGGCCAGAATATAGAAGCCAAGGTAGATAGGCTAAGGGCAATGTAGGTATGTAAAATGCGGATAACTTATATACTCGTTGTATTAAGATGCTATAATACAATCGTAATTGGGACCCAAGACGCGATCATAGAATGTCCATCCATTCATGTCAGCCCAAGCCCCCGTTGTAAATGAATTTTATTCATATTTCCCATAGATCTTCGTAAATTTGCCGGAATAAACATCCGGTGGTAAGATATTGAATGTAAGCCAGCGTTATAATTGGTGGCGAATGAGTTGTTTTCGGCTAGTGGGAGGTGGTTGATGTACTCTGTGCTGACGGAGTGTAAGACGGTAGCTATACTCCGCTCGGCTTAGGTCATCATATCCGGAGACGGGAGAGGATTTTCAGATTGCATATCGGATAGCACAGTGATGACTTAGTGCTGCTCATAAGGGGGCAAACCTCTAGATAGATCGACGGGTCCAGCGTTTGTTGTGGAATTGCCCTAGAATCGAGTTATGTTAGGGTTACCGCGTTCTAGATCCGGCGGTGCGCGGACGGTTTCCATCGTGAAGGTATTTGTCCTTAATATCTTGTTTTCCTCCCCAAACGTAACTAGATTCTGAGAATCCGAGCTCACTTTATGTTGGTAAACACCTCCCCACTTCTGTGATGGACCAGTAGAAGCTTTCGCGGATCCAGATCCCTTCGAGAATGTAATAGATCGGAAATATGACTTGGCTGATTCCGGTAGGTGGTGTCTGAGGAAGGCTGGTAGGAGCATGAGACAAGAGCAGATAAGCCCGACGTTTATTTCCAAAGTGCTAGATGATTGTTAGACCTTCCATTTGACCTCAATATTTCCTCAGGGGGGACTTACGCCCAGACCGAAACTTTGGCGATATTGTAAGTGGAATCCAGATCGCTCTGTAGGAGAGGTGTCATCCCCAGACGCACAAGACTGGCTGCGCAACCACTAGAAATAGGGGCATTAGTGGAGGTAACAACTTGGAATGGTTACCGGACATGACTTACAAGATACCGATTCCAAAAACGGCACCAAGTCTTATCTTTCGCTTTGGCCCCATGTTCAGCCCCCAGAGGAGAGGGATAGGAAGGATAAGGACATAGATATCCACGAAGGCATTCCATGCGCCAGAAAGGTAGGATACCGGAGCTGGAGAGGAACAATGTCCCGGGATGGAGTTGTTCCATGCCTTCTCAACCGGGAAGCAAAAGAAGATGATGGCAAGTAAGATAGATACGCCCATAAGCGTAACGAGGACAATCCCGCCATTAACGAACCACTTCGCGGTTTTCTGCAGATTGAATATACGACGGTATAAGAAAAGGAGACTGAGTTTGATAACGGTGGTTGCCACGAAGTATATTTGTGCTGCAATGGTTTGAAACTATGGAGGACGCCGTTAGTATTGCTTGTCGTTTAAATATATCGCGAATATCCTGAGAGCTAACCTTCAACGCCGGAATGAGCCATATTGCCGGCTCGTCCCATATATGACGACCAATTCCCCAATGGAAACCTGTTAACGAAATTAGAAAAACAGTTCAAATGGAGACGAAAAGACAATCATAACAGATATACCAACGTACACGTAAGTAGTAGACCTGAATAGGTTGCTGTGGCGGCCTATTATGTTGGTTAGTTCCTAAACTCGGAGATAAACACTTGGAAGTGACTTGCGTATGCTAAAAGGCAAAGATCTATAGTTTCCAAGCATTAGTTATCGTGATGTTTAACGCAGCCGTTGCTGTCTACTCAAGAAATAAACTCACAATCGTCCACGCCAAGAGTAACTCGAGAGACATATAGTCGCGTGTATATCCTCATAATAACTGATAAGGTGCTTAGGGTGAGGAATATGGTGTGGATTACGATATTCCCAGCCATTTGATTCTCGGGATTGATGAAGTTGGGTTCGACGCCCGCCGGGGGCGGCACAACTCCTTGCGACCACTGCGACGACATAACGGCTCTGGGTCTTGAAGGTTTACGATGCGAACAAGACGACGAAAGATAGGATTCTTAGAGTTGACAGCGACAGACTAATGCGCGCCAAATATTACGAGAACGACCGGCAACTAATTAGTATTTCGGCAGCGAGCGACTCATATTGATCTGAATAGGAAGTATTACTGATTTGGGCAGATAGATCTCCACCCCACCATCACGACTATGGGGTTGTAACGCATGCTTACGACCCTCACGATCCCTACGACCCTCTGGACTAGAATGGCATGTGGTTACAATGCATGCTCCCTCTAACGTAAGCCGAGGCGAAGGATTGGCTCTAATACCACGAATACCACGAATACCACGGAAATATGCGCTCAAAAGGGGCGTAAAACCGTTTTGAAATAGAATTCTTCCATTTCTTCTAGGCACGCTATGCCATAACAAGCCACGTGTTGAAGTTTTACTGAGATGGTTGTATGCATGTACCCGATAACAAGGTCTTGGAAATACTTGGTGAAGAAGTTATAGTCGTATTTAAACTATAGAGCTAAAAAATAGGGCCAAACGAAAACCCTTCCCCCAGCCCGGCAACTTCCTCGACCTTAAAATATTCCCACGCCACTAAACAGAACCCGCTCGAATCTCACCACCCCACCATCCCACATAGAGACCTCCACAATAAACATTGCCCAGCTGAGAATAAACATTCCCTCGTTTATGCAATATAATGTAAAATCATGAGAAATCATGAGATTCGTTTAATTCGTTCAATTTATTCATCGGTCGTTCCAAGATCCTTCAATGTTCTTACCTATCGGTACCGAGCCGACAATCTCACAAGCAATGCCACCCTATCCCACGCGATAGAGGTAATATTCCTTTATATTGAATGCTACGATCTGCCAAACTTTGGGAAAATGATGTTGCAATTTAATATGCACAATCCTACGAACGTCTGATATCGAATGCTTCCATGCCGCATCCGACGAGAATTATTCTGAATACAGTAGAATAATTACCTATATTCTTTCCCACCTGGACGCCCCTGTTTTGGCCCCCTTTTCTTGGCGCTCTTATCTCGATGCACTCAATCTTGCTTTTGCTTTTGCTTTTTTAGCGAACAAACGCCCGTATACCTTTCGTATCTAGTTTCGCCGTTGCGACCATGAAGTCGTGGACTTGTCGCACATCGCTCTCGTCTGTCTCGAAGAGCTCTAACTTAGGGCCGTTTGGGCGAAAAAGTACCGCCAAGGCATATGTAACTTCGGCCATTGCTAGACTACAATAGGAAAACCAAAAGTGTCAACATGCCGGAAGCAGTATAGATGAGAAAAGTTTAAAGGAACCTTACTGTAGTCCGAGACAGTTCCTAGAGCCACGAGCGAACGGCACGTAGTTTCTGTTCATTGCCGGGCTAACCTCCCCAAGCCACCGTTCAGGGATAAATTCGAACGGCGACTCGTACACGGCAGGATCCGTATGCATGAGATATGACGACATCCCTACCGGCACCTAGAAAACGGTTAAGTGTGGGTGACTTCCGAAACGATATTCAGGGGTACTAGTACTTACCCCTGCCGGGATAGTATAGTCTTTATACTGAATAGGGACATCGGGCGAGATCCGGGGTAGTCGATGCATGACTCCATAACTGATACTGATTTTCCAGATCTCAGCATCACTTATCAGCCGGGTGGGGATGATCGAAATCTTACCGAAGCGATTCCTTTATGATAGCCTGCAGCAAAACAAGCTTTTCGAGCTCTGCCCACGTCGGCACGTATTGGGGCCATCTGTCCATGAGATCTCGGAGTTCTGCTTCGACGCCATGTCTCAAATGCGGCCGAGATAAGATGTGGAAAGACGCGACTCCGATAGTACGCCCACTAGTCCAGGTACCCCCGGCAAGGATCAACTGGGCTTCCATCACGAGACGTCCCTCTGTTTTCTCTGATTCTGGCATATCGCTGTTGACTACATGGTGGAATAACGACGAAACATTCTCGTCTTTTATCGAGTCGGTTGTGAGAACTTTACGGATATTCTCTCTTGCTTTCTATCCCATGAATTAGTCTTAGAAATTATTAGTTTAGCTGAATATTGTTAGAGTTTTACTTGTCTCAGTTTGCGAAGTCCCTGACCGCGGGGATATAGCCACACGAATACATCTTCTGGTAGATAACTCATCATCCTGGGCGGTGTTTAGTTTCTAAGTAGGTACGTTTAAACATTATAGACGCCAACCTACCAGACTAATAATGGGAATGCAGTAGCTACTGGTATAGAGCGTATGATCATCAGCATGGCATTAAACCTGGACTCTCATTTAGCAATTGTTTCGCAGTATTATGTAATATCTCCGTACCAATCTGGTGAGAAATTCGCCTCATTTAGGAAGCGGTCGCGGCGGTCTTTAGTATCGAGACACATTCGTCCGACGACATCGCCGGCATAGGCGGAGAAAGCATGGTCCAGTCGAATGACTTTGTTGGTACCAGAAAATTCCCTAAGTCGGGATTCCAAGTGCAGAGCTACCTCTGCGATAACTGGCAGTAAGCGATGGACTCCCAACTTGGAGAAAAATGGCTCTAGGGCCTTTCGCCTTATACGATGAAGGTCATGTTCCTTGGTAAATAGATGGGAATCTGAATCAAGTTGTTAGTACATATATGACGTGTATTATATCAAGTTACAAGGGATGTTGTGATAATGAGATGCAAACCTTCAAAGCCGATTCCCTTGCCAAAGGCATCATAATGATCAGTTCGTCGTCTATTTTCGGTGACGTACAGCTCGTTGTAAAAATCCGGGTCATTGATAGAAAGCTCATCCGGATTGACGCGAACTATGGGACCTAGAAGCGGATATCAGCGGCCTACTTTATGATTTGTTAATGGAAGGGATAAATTCACCATATTTCTTGTGCATCTTTTCGATTTCAAATATATATTTGCCATTGCACCAGACTTGGTAGTAAAATTCGTACCAGCCAGTAGCAGCGGCGATTTTGGGTCCGGGGAAGCGGGAAAGGGGTGAGAAACATAGGCGATATACAACGAGGGAAGCAAACCAAACAATTTGAGCCAACAATAACGTTGCTACCACCCTGATTGGGAAGCTGTCATAATCTTGCAGCGCCATCCAGTCTCTCGGTAACGAGGTATTATTCGTTTCGAATTAAGATGGGTGGGTGTACTGCATTAATGGTATGCCGTTAGAGGACCTTTCTAATTGTCCCTGGGATGTTGGTGAACAAAACGGGGAAGTAGGGATGTTGTAATTTTGGTTGATTCTTATTCGGGGATATCGTACGTAGGAGGCGCACTGCTTTACTTACCTAATTGACTATTTCTTCATAAATACGTAAGATTATGTCTTCATTTACGACTTTGAATCACCCCAGTGTCCAACACCTGGATCTCGGCACTTTAATAGTAGCTAACCTAAAAATGTGACGAAAAGCGTCACACGTATTTCCAATATAGAGTGCCTGCGTGCGTACCTACATGTGAGAGCGGCCCGCTAAATGTCTGTAATATCATATTGAATCGCGGATAGAGATAATGCATCTTTTCGGCCCAAGATTCCTCTTTAAGGCTTGTAGCCCCTGCTATAACCACCAAGCTAGGACCGAAGGAGCATTTTTGCATTACCGAGTCTAGAGGTCCACACCGCTGATCATCCGAGAGGCATATTGCACTTTCCTGGTTGGTTGGACTAAGATGTGTTGGATACATGAAGTGCTGTCGTTAATATGGAGAGCCATAACAAGGTTGTTTGGATCCCCCTCATATATTTTACCTAGAGCGACCGACTCTGTCTGGACGGGTAGCAATGCTTTAGTCAGATGTCTGGGGAAATCTGACTTCAAAGCATGGAGTTCCGCTATTCCAGAGAAGTCGATCTGACTGTCTACGAGACGGATGGCCTTGACTACGGGATTCCACTGCGTGTGCATAATGACCCACTCGAGGAAGTCAATGGAACTCTTCGTGCTCAAAGAGACTGGACGAAATATATCCAACCTGTGATGGGTTACAATGGAAACCTCGGCGACCCTTATAGCTTCATGTCTGTTACAGTTCCGGAATGCTTGCCAGACAGACTCGAGATCATTTCATACGCCAACGAATATGCCTTTCTTTATGACGGTACTCATGTAGCACGTTGGAGCAACTTGAGATGGGTGGCTAACTCGAAAGCAGACTGGATGGAAAGTTTTGACTTGAAAAAGGACCTGGGTGAGAACGGCGTGTTTCTGGAAGCCTTTGGGGCTGGTGCTCTTGAGGGTAAAAATGACCCAAAAGCCCGCCCCGAGAAACGTCTTCAATCGCAAGTTCTCTCCGAGATGATGGCCAAAGACCCGGAGCGAGCCAGAACTACCATGAAGGCGTGGGCTGGTTTTGTCCAGTCGGCATCGAAGACGCGGTCGTCACCGTTCGAGACATTGGACCAGTACATGCCAGCACGAGCTATTGATGCGGGGGAAGGGTGAGTCTAAGCGACCCCCAAAGAACTCCTCTCCGATGAAAGCTCACACTTCTAGCATCTGGTTCGGTACCTTGACCTTTGGAATGGGACTGACCATTCCGGATGACGAATTTGACCTGTGTACGAAACTAGCTAGACCGGCCTACATAGCTTTGGGGCTGGTCAATGATCTATATTCGTGGGAAAAGGAACGAGCTGCATCCGTTCAAGCGGGACACGACTATGTTTTCAACGCTATTTGGGTTATCATGAAGGAGAGGTCTGTAGGAGAGGAGGAAGCGAAGAAGATATGCCATAAGGAGATTATCAAGGCCATTTCGACATACTGCCGGACGCTGGAAGAGACGAAGAATGACTTATCCTTGTCCCACGATCTTCGGATGTATCTCGAAGCTGTGTTACTGAGCTATATTGGGAATCTCGTCTGGAGCATCTACTGTCCTCGATACCGGGAGTTCTAGATTGGTTTAGGTAGATTAGAGGTTTGCTGGTAGCCGTTGGAAGTCGCGAATATCTTACCACTTAAGATTACCGGCATGTAGTTCCGAATTTACAGTTGTCATTTTCCTTTTCAGGGGTCATGTACGTACCTTCACTCCCAATAACTACCTAAAGACTGAAGGATCATAAAAGTTTCCGAGACCGCCACCCATAATCCTTTTCCATCGAGATGCCGGGGCTAGCGACGGTCAGTGATGGTTGCAAGCATGCAAAGATGTGGCAAGTAGTGAGACTAATACGACGTACTAGAGTGACTAATCCAGGAGGTGGAGGTGTTTAAGGTTATTGGTGGTCCCTTTTCGGCTCTTAGATAAGCGATGGTCTTTTTAAGTGAGAATTAATCTCCGACGATCTTTAGATTAGCGTTGTCCCCTTGTAAAAGCTAGGGTGGTTTTGAGGTTATTTCGCTATATTATAACTCCTAGGTAGGTAAGTTAGGTAAGATAACGTTATCACCTACCTAGGCAATGATAGTGGCTATGAAGGCTCCAGGGAGAGGAGGTTGATGATAAAGTCCAAATTACGTAGTCGAATTGTTAGGTCATATGGGTTGGTAACTGGGTAACAAAACCCTGACTTTGGCTTAACGTTGTTTGACGTTGTCGTAAGCCTGGAGTTACACAGAATAAATTGAATGCATCCGTGATATGTCCAGACCATTGGCCCCCATTCACCGTTCATGCACGTGAATAAGACCCTTGTGGGTAGGTACATGGCCTAGTTCATGGGTCGGTTAGCCTTATATAGAGGTATCATTCGATGATCTCCTTCTGGTAAACCCAAATTGCTAAGCCCCTTCGTGCGAGAGGGTACTGTAAGATTCATGATTTGAACAAAATGGGTTCTTGGAAATCATATGCTAGTGCATTAGAAGGTTACAGTTGCAACATATGAATGCTACCGTCTATCTTGCCTAGCATGGAAAAGTATCATTGGGACTGGAGAAAGGCGGTTTTAGAATTTTTAGGTATCCCAGGTAAGCGCTCGGTATGTGTAGAAGAAAGAAAAGTTCAATTCAGGGCTCACCTAAGCGAAATATGGATACTAAAGAAACGGATGTGATTCTTATTGGCTAGAATTTTTGACCTATCATACTAGTTTATTTAGACTCCGCACCACCCTTTCTGTCTTCTTACGAAAGAGGCGGGGCGGGACAGAGAACTCAAAAAGGGAACAGATTGGGGGCCATGCACGTATACATCTAGTACCTTGTAATTACAAATATAAGTTTTAGTCACTAATAGGATCAGAGGGATATCCTTCTAGATAATAATATCTAGAAAACAAATATAGCGATACCCCTTTCATTAGTTCGTATCATTGCGCCATACCTACACCTTGGTAGGTACCAGACATGCTTATATTGCAACGGTCGCATGTCCGGAGGAATCCTTCCAACATAATAATAACACCAACATCCTGATTTTCCCCTTGGCCGATTATCAACAAAACTTCCAGTCTTCTGTTTTAGTACCTTACACTTTGCCAACGATCATCATGGGAGGGGTCGCATCTATACCAACTGATCCTTCTAAGAAGGTTCAGGTTATATCAGCAGGCTACTCGCGAACTGGGACTGTATCAATGTCCATGGCCCTAGAAAAACTAGTGGATGGACCTATACTTCACGGAGGCACGCAGATTTTAGTTCGAGACGATGGTACGGCTAGCAAGAGTGACTATCCTATCTCATCTAGCTAACATCTTCAAGATTATTGCTCAACATGGATCAAGGCATACGAAGCAAGAGAAGCGGGCGACAAGGAACTGACTTTGAAACTTGTAAGAAAGGCAACTGCCGGTTTCGTGGGGACTGCAGATCTTCCACCGTCCGACTTTATGCCTGAGATGATGGAGATATATCCCGACGCAAAAGTTGTGTTGGTCCGAAGGGATCCGGAGAAGTGGTGGAACAGCATCGCGACCCTAACCAGCAGGACTACGCCGTGGTGGCTTGGTGCTGTTCTCGCCCCTATCCCAGGATGGAGGTACCTCGCCAAATTTGCAAGTGTATACAGTCGTTCGACTTTACGGCTAGCTGGCCTAGATAATAAGAACGCTAGTCCAACCGACCTCATCGAAAAGGGTGGTCCTCGTAAGTCGATACCATTATCCCGACCCCGTTTGGCCGCTAATAAGCCCGCACTGGTAGATATCCTCACAGCTCATAATGATAGGGTTAGAGCACTTGTTCCTAAAGGACAACTCCTGGAGATGGACTTGAGCCAGGGCTGGGAACCGCTGTGTAAATTCTTAGGAGTCCCCGTTCCAGATGAACCGTTCCCAAGAGCGAATGATGCTAAGGCAGCGGATGAGTACGCTACAAAAGTCCTCCTTGGTGTCTTAAAGGTCTGGGTCGGTATCTTCTCCACTGTCGGACTTACTGCATATTCTGCATCTTGGCTATGGAAGAATAAGTTGTCTTGAGATCTGTTAGGGGAAAGCCTCTTTACATAATTGTGAGAAAGATAAGGATGGTTCCAGGTTCTTTTAGATGCGAGTCTGGCTAAAAAGAGAGACCATTTGTAAATCCCACTTCCGATTATGTAGGTACCTACCGCCTTTTCTCATTAATTTCGGACGTCGTTGGACCCACCTTATGTCTGATCTAGCCGTTTTCGGCCAATGGAATCTGGGGTTGGTTAACAACATCAGTTTTGCGTCCCACTCTTTTTGCAGTGAAATTTTTTCTAACCAATAACCAATTGCTTACTAAATTATGACTAATTTTCTTATCATTTCAAAATTTCTTATCGAGCTGATTTTTATACTAGAACCAATAGAGCCTCACCTTGTGCTAACCGTAAAGCGTATAGCCTTTTTCTAATGTGGGTCCAACGACGTCCGGAATTAATGAGAAAAGGCGGTACTAGGTAGGTAGCTGTAGTTTTTAAGGCTAGTACTAACATCGACTAGCGCATGACTAATGGAGACTCATCTAGCACCACGCATGGTCCGTGCAAAAGGCTCGGGTCGTGTATCCCCGATCCGAACTTTACGTAATCATTTTCTTGAACCCACTTTCTCGTTCTTGGAGTTCCAGAATCCACGGCTCACATTCGAAGAACATTGATACTTCTAACTAGTAGCTACCTGCAATTTCGCCTCAACGACTTCAGCTAGCTTAATAATATGTGTTTGCGCACTCATAATGTCAAGGAAAGGGATATCGACATGGAAGACCGACCAAAACCAAGATCGGAACTCGGATGCGATCATGCTGTCGACACCAAAGTCGGGTAACGGTTTATTCTCATTGATTTGATCTGGAGGCATCAAAATGAGATTAGAGAACCGTTTCTTGATCAATCGTAGAATGGCCTCTAGCATAGTATCGGCATCAGCTTCTGGCGAAAAAGCGGCTGATAGAGCTGCGGGCACGTTTCTGAACCATGGTGCTGCTGTCACTACCGAAATCTGTCCGCCTTGGGAGTCTGAGATGACTTTCTTCTCAGCTAACAACGAAGCTAGCAATATGGCGGCGCGCGCCTCAATTAGTGTGCCGTGGCTAGTCACGTCGAAGCCGCGAACACTTAACTCGCGAATCGCGGCTGGCTCTAGACCAGTGAGTAGATGTGCTTCCTTCGGGTTGCACACTGCCTCACTAGCTAGCGCCAGGTCAACGACTTGGAGGAATTCTTCTTCGTTAAGCGGTTGAATCCCCTTTCGAAGTAGGAGTGCCTCTATCTCTGGGTTCTCGTGCAGGTATCCTACCTCTGAGATCATGCCTAGGCCAACCGAGACGCAAGGTTGGCCGCGCGACCGACGCCAGCGCGAAAAGGCATCGAGGAAGCCATTCGCTGAGCAGTAATTGCTCTCAGTCGCTGTACCTACGGTCCCCGAGACTGACGAAGTGAGTAAGAAAAAGTCGGGCTCGTTTTGTCTGTCTTTCTCGATATGCACCTGCAACGCATTGTGCAAATTCCAGGTGCCTTGCCATTTGGGATCAATACCCGTATGCCAAGCTTCATTGGGCATGCGGGTGAATAGGGCTTCATGGAGTCCCATGGCTGCCTGAATGACGCCACCAATGCGCTGCCCCGCAGTTACACAGGTCGAAACTGCGGCCGTTACGTCGGCAGCCTTGGAGACATCACCACGTACTACTCTAACGGTAGCGCCGACCTCTTCTAACTGAGAGACGAGCTGTCGTGCGCTGGGCTTATCGGCCCCGGAACGACCTAGGAAGACGAAATGGCGGGCTCCCCGTGTCATCATCCATCGACTGAGACTACGTCCTAAACCGCCTAGACATCCAACGAGGAGGTAGACTTTCTCAGCGTCAAACACGCTCATATATGTAGCTAGTGCGACCTATGGCGAGGAGTGTCAATATTCATCGTTCACGTTATATTTCATGTATTGGGCTATGACTTACCGGAATACGGGCGCAGGGATTCTCCATCGAAATAACAACCTTACCTAGTCTGTCTTTACTGCCGAAATACCGATACGCCTGCGCAATTTGACTAACATCGAAAACCTTCATGGGGAGTGACGGGATCTCTTTGGCGCGATAGAGCTGTAGCGTTTCGGCTACCAGTTTGTCCCAGATGGCGCGATGGAAGGGGTCTTTCGCATAGAACAATTCGGACAGATCAAAGGCAGTAAAGGTGGCGTTGCGAAGGAACACGCGCATATCCAACTTGCCAGCATCGATTAGCTCACGCTTACCGATCTCAACAAAACGCCCAAACTCAGCTAGACAGCGCCAGCTCTCGTGCATCAAATCACCGATCAGCGAATTGATGACGACGTTGACGCCACGGCCGTCGGTGGCTTGCATTATGGCCTGGACGAAAAATGAGTCGCGGGAGCTGAAGATGTGCGACGGTGGGATGCCTAATTGGTTAATCAAGTAGTCGCGCTTAGTCTGCGACCCGACGGTGGTGTAGACTACAGCGCCTATCCTCTGGGCTAGAGTGATTGCGGCAATGCCGAGGCCGCCAGAGCCTGCATGTATTAGAATGGATTCCCCGCGACGTAGATGTGCACGCTCGTTAATGGCGTACAGAGCAGTGCTGTAGACGAGCAGCAACGTTGGCACCACTGTGAATTGCTCCTCGTCTAGCATCTTGTGCACGGATCCAGACCGCACTCGTACCGCCGTCCCGAGATGGTGTGGCGCAGAAGCAACAACGCGGTCTCCCACTTTGACGCGTTTAACATCGCGACCTACGGCTGTTGCCACACCAGAAAAGTCGAAGGCTGTCGTCTTATCACGCGTGTCTACGCGTCCGCCTATTGCATACACATCCTTAGCGTTGAGACCCACTGCCTTGACCTCAATATCGACGTAGTCTTCTGAAGATATCCTGACCTTCTCCGGGCTCAGTTCCAGTTCCGACAGCTGCTGGAAAAATAACGTGTCCATCGCCCCGACTCGACCAACCGATAGTCGTGCCCGCTTTGCCTCTGCAATTGTCTGCATCTGTCTCTCATCCTGCAGCCCTAACCGCCGTCGAAAAATGACATTGGTTTGAAAATCGGGTCCATACCTGCTGATGTGCAAGAGGCCTTTCTTTTCAATAAATTCGCAATCGTCTTTGTCGTACTTGGCTACTAAGACTGCCAGTGCGTTTTTACAGGCTGTAGCGAAGTCGAGCTTCTCTGGGGGGCCGACATCAAGAATCGAGTATCGCAATGTTGGCTGCTCTAGCATTAACGCGCGCGAGAGACCACCAGAAAGAGTTAGATTTGGGTTCATCATATCGCCCAGCATATCTGCACCCGTGAACCAAAGTAAATCTGTCGCTGTGTCTGTTATGGCACGTAGGCGATTCATGTTTTGCGAGCTCATCGTTGCTAGGAACTCGTTTTCCACCTCTAGCAGAGATATGCATATGTCCGTTTCGACGATCTTTGTGCTATCAAGTTGACGGAGAGCGACGATACTCGCATGAGCTATACTGGTCATCTGCTTTAGAAATGTTGCTAAAGTGTTCGCGAAGTCTGTTATGACAGATGATGGATTTTCAGCTCTCTTTTCGACAAGTTAGCTACTATGCTGCTTACAGTGCGCAGGCTGCAAAACCTAGTGCTTAAAGCAAAGACACTTACTATGATCAAAACATTACGCCCTGTTAAACTGGTCGTTTGCGGTGACCGTACGGCTAAGAGAACCTGTTTCCCGGCATCCCATACGCCAAAGCCGGCGGCTTTCAACTCCGATATGGCAGCTTTTGACTTCCGCATAATTATAATGCCTTGGTCGGAGACTAACTTGACGACCTGCTTAGATGCCTGGTCCCATACCCGTTTCGAAGTATCGTGCTGGACAGTCGAGCATCAGTATGTTTATTTCCATTTCGACAAGGAGACAAAGGACTGTAACGAGTCATCATTCTTAACTAAATAAGAGATAACTTACTCTAGGAATCAGAGCAACGTCAAAAGTGCCTTCATAGCCATCCCTATTTATTAGTATGTCTCCATCCTCATCCATATTCCCAAAATTCCAGGACTGGCAACGCGAGAAAGCCGTGTCTTTATCCAGTATAGACTGCCATTGTTTGGCTTTGTATCCGAACGAGTCTCCGTCAAGCTCTAGGACTCTCATCTGTGGGTTCTTATGCCCGGAAATATCTAAAAGGGCGCCAATGACAGCAAGACTCTCGTCATCACGCATGTCCATATGCTGTTGGTCTATGAAGGAAGCTATATAATTCCTTAGCTGAACTTCACCTTCTGGGTGCAGGCGTTGGATGTCGGGTTTCCAGCGTATCCTCAGAGTCGGCTGGCGCTGGGTGTACACATGAGAAAGATGGCGGTCGCTGTTGCTACCGTCGCTGACGCCCCCTGGTTGTTGTTCTGCGGAGGTATTCTTGCCGGTATATAGTGAGATGCGCCCGCCTCTAAAGTCAACTATAGGCATTCCATGGAAACCTCGAAGCGTACCATCGATCCTTCTGCTAGAGAGACCCGTCTCCTCAGAACACGCGTGGATCGTGCTGTCGGCCTCGGCCTCGGGTTGATACTCGCCGTTCACGTCCGTTGTGAGCGCCCCTTGTACAGGCTGGATTCTACACTCCGCAATAAAAACGGGGAGCCAGGTTTTTAACGCAGGCACTAGTCCTGCTGTCGTACTGAGAATCGCTGCCTGGAGGGCTGCATCTATGGTAATAGGGTGTACGGGGTAGCCATTGCCGCCTGCTGCAATGGGAGGCTGCAACTTCGTAGTCCCAATAGCCTCGCGCCGACTTCGACTACCGTCAGTTCGCAAACTCGTCAGGGATTGGAAGTGTGGACCAAAGCACAGTCCTTCTTGGTGCCATTTGGTGTACCATCTACTCATAGACCAGGTATCGAAGCCGTTTGTATTCTGCAAGGTAACACTGTCATCTACCCCAGCGCCTCGGCGTGGGGAGGTCAAACGAATGCTCCCCGTACAATGCACTGTGGTACGACCAGCCAACCATGATGAGACAGAAAAGTCGTGCCAGTCGGCCGAGCTGTTGGCATTGGATATCTTACGTGCGGACATAGTGGTATGCAATTCTACGTCCTTAGCCGCGGAATAAACGTCTCTATCCTCGTCGGGTACGTTGAGGGCAGCGATGAAACTGACGTTGCGAAACTCGAAGGCAAGCTGAATCGCCGGCTTATTCTTAACGCCTGTAATTTGCGACACGGCCTCGATGGCAAGCGCCATGTATCCAGCAGCTGGGAAGACGATTTGATCTTCTAACCTGTGGTCTCGAAGCCACGGTGTTTCGTTTAGGCGTAGGAGGTTACGCCACGTGAAGTCGATGCCGTTACCCGTGAGCGCTAGTGTGCCGAGGAGTTCGTGACGTAAGTACTTCCGGTTCCTCATCTCAAAACTGGCCCGCGGTTCACTCCACAGCAGCCCCTCTGAATAATCCCATGGGTATGGTGCGAGATCGTAAAGGATTCTTGAGCCTGATTCGGGGAGTCCGTTAACCACATCCCAGTTCATCGTCTGACAACCATATGTAAACAGCGTGCCGGCTAGCAGCTTCATGCTGAATACAGAATCTTGGTTTCTGACTAGCGTCGAAGAGTAGGGAAGTGACTTTTCGTCTAGCCCAAGCGATTTCCGGATCTGTTTGATGGGCCCCTTGAGTGCCGCGTGAGGGCCTATCTCTATCAAATGGACAGCGTTGTCACCCCCCACCACCAAGTTCGTGAGTGCGGCTGCGAACTGGACTGGCTGTTCTAGATTCTTTCTCCAATACGCTGGCATGTATGTTTGACTGTTTATACCACCGAGACTGTTATGGCTATGGCCCACGGAGGAATACATTTTTGCGCTAAACACCGAAGCTACCGTGTCGTTACTGCTGCCATTCCCGCGCAGCTTGCTATCGAATAACGGTGTGAGAAGCTCCTCATATAAGTACCCTATTTCTTTCATCATATTGGAATGATAAGCGCGACCGCCCGTCTCTAGCTTTCGGGCAAACTTATTCTGGCCTTGTAGTTCCTGGCCGAGGGTTTCGATTCCATCCGGAGTCCCACTCAACGTCACATTTTCAGGTGTGTTAGTACACGCAACACAGACTTGTGACTCTAGCCCTTTGCTCTTAATGAGCGACTTGGCTGCCTCGGGATTTAAAGCAACCGCCATCATGGCCCCCTTACAGAGTAACTTGCTTACGGCATAGCCACGGAAGTAAGCTACTAGAATAGCTTGTGAGGAAGTAAGGAAACCAGCGGCATAGGCTGCGGCGATCTCGCCTGACGAGTGACCAACCACTGACGTAAAACGAACGCCCCAGCTGTGCAACAGGTCGACAAGTGCTATTTGGACAGCAGTGCAAATTGGTTGGCTGCGGATCGCTTCGTTGATACGAACGTCTTTGTCGTTCAGCAACGTCTGTTCAAGTGTCCAGTCTGGCGCATGAGGCGGGGCTAGAGTGCAAAGCACGCTGTCAAGACGACGGATCGTATTGCGAAAATGTTGACTCTCAAGCATCAGCTCTTTAGCCATACCAACGTATTGTGCTCCTTGTCCAGTAAATACAAAGCCAAGCGGCAGCAAATTGGCAGTGCCTGTCGGAGTAGCTCCATCTGTCGTTACGGGGACGAGCTTCCCACAACCATCTTGATGGTCAACTAAAAGAAAACTTTTGTGCCGTAGGTAGTCTCGGCCTTTGGCGAGTGTATACGCTAAATTCTGGATTGTCTCCTTATCGCGGACCTGTGTTACTCTTTCGGATATTTGCTGAACAAGTGTATCTAGCGAGTTGGGAGACGCCGCTGACACAGGCAAAACTAGAAGCTTCTGTTCATCTTTCGCGGCCAAGTCATTGATTTGGCACTCTTGTTTCGCTGAGTAATCGTAGCCGAGATAACTCTCTGTGGACTCGAGAATAAGGTGGGCGTTGGCGCCACCGTACCCGAAAGAGTTGATGCTAGCGCGACGAAGCGCTCGCGGCCACTCTTCCAACTTCTTGCCAACTACTAAGTTGTGTTCTGCTAGATTGACTGTGTACACAGGCCGTTAGTCGATTTCCACCATCCATTGGCAATATGGAAGGGGTTAAACTCACGTTTGGGATTCAGCATGACTATCCCTCGCGATGGCGGGATCTTATTATTCTCAAAGGCTTGGACGACCTTGAGTATAGAAGTGAGACCACTGGCTCCCTCACTATGTCCGACATTTGTTTTTACCTATCCCATCCATGATCAGTTTCCCTTGATAATGGTTATACATCTAATGATATGGAGCGGATAATAGAGCCCAAAATGCTGAGATACTTACTGATCCGATGAGAAGCGGAGGTCCTTCAGGTCGCGCAAAACATTTCCCGATGGCATCGACCTCTATAGGATCACCAACTGGAGTGCCAGTCCCATGGCATTCGACATAGTCAGTGTCGGCGCGGTCTAGGCCGGCGTTCTGGTACGCCTTGCGCATGACCGCCTCTTGCAGCTTCCCACTAGGCTGTGAAATCCCGGGCGTTTTCCCGCTCCTACGTCGTCATAGTTTTAGTATATTATCGATCCATTAAAGCGAGACTGAGGATACTCACGCGTTTACAGCACTCCCGCGTATAATTGCCCTGATGGGATTCCCGTCCCTAAGGGCATCGGATAGGCGTTTTACGTAAATGGCGTTGACGCCCTCGGCACGGCCATATCCATCAGCTGAGGCATCGAAAGTATGGCATGTTCCCGTGGGTGAGAGAACCCCGCTTTTGGCTGCAGCAATATGAAGCTCGGGGGACATGATCATATTGCAGCTAGCCACAATAACGCTATCACAATCATCCATCCTCATGGCATTTAAGGCTTGGTGGAGGGCATAGAGGGATGATGAACACGCAGTGTCTATGGTAAAACTAGAAGAATCCTTTCCATCAGTAATACGTCACTGGAGACTACCTAGTAGGTATACACAGAGATTAAAAAATATAGGAAAGGGGAGTATACCTCGGTCCGTGGAGATTGAAAACGTGGCTGATCCTATTTGACATTATGGTGGCTCCTGAACCGGTAGCAACGTATCGGTGCAAATAATCCGGATCGCGAGTTAGCATGGGTTGGTAATCAACGGAGAAGTTAGCGACATAAACGCCGGTATTGGAACCAGCCACGCTCTCCATGGACGTTCCAGCACTCGCGAGGCACTCATATACGACCTCCAGTAGCTTACGCTGCTGGGGATCCATATATGTAGCCTCCAGATTATTGATGCCGAAAAAGGCGTTGTCGAACTGGCGGATGTCCTCTTTTATAAAATACCCGCCGGGCACATTGGTTGTTCCGCTTCGGCTCCCCTGAGGGTCGTAGAAGCCGTCGATGTTGTACCTCTCCGGCGGGACAGGTCCTTGAGCCGACTTCTGCTCGGCTAGGAAACCCCAGAGATCGGAGGGGCAGCGGATATCCCCGGGAAGACGGCACGCTGTGATCTAGTTAGAGGAACTTCTAGCACGAGGTATTGTACGGATATGATGGCAACTTACCCATCCCCACGATACATGGGGGGTCGTTGTCGAGAAATGTCGAATCAACATCGCCGCCGGGACCCTCATCTTTCAGGTTTATGAGGACCGCGCTGGAGCTGTCTCTACTACACGTAGTAGGTGACTCCACCACATCAACGTCTGGGTTAGACATGGCTGTTGTTGCCCTGGATATTTGACATCCACACGACGAAGTGGTAAAGAAATTTATTGCTTGATCTTGTACCGGTGGAAAAGTGATTTGGATGATAGTCAAACTCTCATGTTGGTTTATTAGTAGCCATAGGAAAAGGAAGCAGTGGATATATTTATTATTGGTTTCTATGTTTTCTATGTCTTCTATCCTGTATTTTCTCTTGGCCGGGGAATACTCTGGATATCCCATACGCCATTTCAGTGATACCCCCTTTCTCAGGTCAAGGCATGAATCGCGAGCGCCTTCGGGGCCGGCGAAGCCACACCAGAGGATGTGGAACCGAAAACCGGTTCCGGATTCACTTCATCCAATTTTCCTTGTATGCTATATGTTCTTTACATTCTACCATTGCATACTTGTCGTTAATAATGTACACGCATCCGTGGTCGGCTGCCGACTTTACCGCCACTTCTAGTTCTCATATCTCTAGCATGATACTCCGTATCGTGGTATTATAGTAGGTAAATAGTCGGTCTGCGGAAGCTACCTAGTCTTTCAATCATGTTTCCTGCAGCATGCATAGATATGTGTAAGATTTAAGCTCTGGAAAAGCTAGATCCGGGTAGCACTCGAACCGCATCGCATGAATTCTGAGTTATAGGTACCTACCTAGGTAGACGATCTAGTGGCGTTAGCTCGCCGACCAAGAGGCAATTGCAACTTCAGTCGTTGATGACTAGCATATGAGCTTGAATTCATAGGAAAAATAACTCATACATGACGTCCTCATGGCGTTCACTTCCCTTGCCTTGCGAAACTCTAGCTCCGTCCCCCCTCCCGTCTCGAGAGTACCTACTCTAGGCATCCTATTCTCCACTATCACGCGTCATGTATATACCGAAACAGTATGGATAGCCTTGGTGATTACCTAGATACACTCATCGTCGTGTATAATGTGATAAAGGGGGGTCGGTTAGGGGTTTCGTGAAACCCATTACCCCTATTCCCACTTATCCTACCGAGTCACCGACATGATTGGACGCTCCAAGTATATATGCCCTTGGTTTTTCTACGCCACAAAAGGTCAGAGAGTGATCCTTATCTCATACATACCCATTTCACACCTCAGCCTGCACACAATGGATATTTCTGGCAACGCGTTAGTAGTTGGTGGAGGTAAGTAAATCGCTCGTTCCAGCCCGTATTGCCGTTACACGTACAGCCCTATCTGTAGAAGGTGTCATTAACTGCTGGAAACCGTTACAGGTAGTGGCATTGGCAGAGCATGTGCGATTCTGTTCGCGAAAGAAGGTGCTTCTGGCGTGATGATTGCGGATGTTAATACTGACGCAGCGGCTCGCGTCTTGGATGAGTGCAAAGCCGTAGCCACGAACAGCCAATTCCATGGCGAGGCAGTACACGTCGATATCACCGAGGAGGAATCCGTCTGTCGGCTCGTAGGTCGAATGATGCGCGTTTTCAGCCGCATGGATTATTGCGTTAACTGTGCGGGGGTAAGATGACCGAGTCGAGCATGAATCATGTATGGCGATACTCTGCTGACTTGTTTTATCGTCAAGATCGGCGTCCAGGAGGCAGCCGATATCGCGGTGTTGTCATTGGACGAGCTTCGACGGTTCCTCGACGTCAATACCGTGGGCATGTTCCTAGTGACACGAGAGGCATCTATAGCAATGCGAGCCCAGGAGCCTCGACCTGTGTCGCATTCTGCGCCTAACCGTGGAACGACGCGCGGAGCCATCGTCAACCTTGGTTCTGGATCTTCCCTAATCGCCACTCCAGGAGTTATCCCTTACACTACATCCAAGCATGCAGCACTTGGATTGAGCAAGAATAGCGGTGAGTACGGCCTATAAGGCTATGTCTCCTCGACATGGACGCACAATGAAAGCTGACACACAGGAACTGACAGCTCTTGATAATGCACCTCATGCCATCAGGGTCAACTGTGTGTGTCCGTCGTGGACTGATACCCCTATGGTGCGGGCTGCCATGGACGGCGTGGAGGGGCTGACTAAGATCATTGAAGCTGCAGTCCCCATTGGCAGGATAGCAGTACCGGAAGAAGTGGCCGACGCAGTCATTTTTCTGTGCAGCCCCAGGTCAAGTTATGTCACTGGCTGCGGGTTTATTGTCGATGGAGGAACGACGCTAACTGCATTGAGATAGAGTAGCAGTATGCCCTATGCAGCAGTGTAGCAAGGGCGGAATATTGAAGCTAGTTCTGAGTACTTAATCTGAGACATGCATGGTGATCGTACGTTGTTACCGAACTCGCGTCGCGTCGGATCGTTGCAAGATGAGTTGGCATGGCCCTGATAATCTATATGCACATCGTGGAGGCACCTTGATATTGCTGATAAGAGATATCTCTTGTGCCCCCATATAGATCTTCCCAAACATCATCTACGTAGTCGTAGTGAAGATATCGTAAGTAGGTACATACTGTAAGTTCAGGATTGAATCCTGAACTAGGCAGCTAGGTCACGTACGTTATTACACAGTCACAATGCAAGCCATATAACGCCAAGGCGCAAGCCTCATAGCCTCACATCCCCAAAGGGTCATAAATCTCCAAGTAATGAAGTCATACACTTTTTACTTTATCTAAATCTGACACAGGTGACAGAATGATGCTAGAAAACATGTATCTACCCAGCTGGTTACTAACATTGGTAACATTATCAGGTACTATTTCGAAGTTTGTGAGCCTTCTGTAACTTCCCCAAGTCAAACATATTCCATAGCATAGAGTCCTAAAGGATCGTCAGCAATACTTAAATTTGCGAGGGGAAAAAACGACTGTACATGCCCAAACAGTGCGCCAGCCCAGGGTATCAAGGAATCGAACCAGAACTGTAAAGCTCCCGTACCAGAACCATGCTGGCGGCGATGATTTCAGGCTCTGAGAAACAACATTCGCCGCATAGTCGAAGCGATTAGTAGAGCCTTCTACATATTTAGTTAGCCATGTTATAAGGTAATATTCATCATCGGTACGTAAATGTTGTTGAAGTTACCTACGTGGTATTCTCGTGACATGCTGTTCAAAGTTCTCCGCGAGTGGAGAATAGTAGGATCCTAGTCGCGTCAAAGTTAGGATCCATTAACGAAGCTTCTCTCAAATGCCTAACCTTCTGGGAGACGCCTATGCGCATCGCTCTTTAAGATATTGGTACTAACTTCTCCGGAAATTACCTGAGGCAACTATAGTTAGTAAACGATAAAATTTCTTGTCCATCCTAGAACCAAGACGTACCGTGATGACCTTTACACTAAGATGGGGATGTGTATTAGTTATATACCCCGATAATACATGCGGCAGAACATACTCGAATGGCGCCATTTCAATGCGCAGAGTGCTTGACCAGTGTTGGAGTGCCGCCTTTGTAGCGTTATATGATGCTGAAGCTCGAATCAGTAAGGGGGTTTAGGGGTGATCTAACATATCAACCTTGAAGCCAACCCACATCCATATGTATAAGGCATGATCCCGCCAATGGAACCGATGTTCACTATAGTCCCTATGCTTCTGATAATCATGTCGTGGAAGTGATGAACCATTCGCATGGGCCCAAACACATTGACGTCGAACATGCGCTGTACGGCGACGACATCTGTGTCAATGGCTGGCATAGTGTAAAGAATACCACTTCCACATAGCTTGTTAATCACGCGTGTAGTTATTTGCAAGTTTTAGGTAGGTTCTATGATCGAATTGGGAGCTTTCACGTACGCGCAGTTCACGAGGATATCGAGGTGCCCCCCAGTGAGCTTTTGAACGCTAGCCTTTAAGTCCATGATGGACTTCTCGACAGTAACGTCAAGAGTGAAGAATGTGATTCCAGCCTCTGATAGGTGGTCACTCGCTTCATGGGGAAGCACGGTGGCGATGGCGTGGAGACCGCGGCGAGTATACTCAACAACAAGCGCTTCTCCAATTCCACCTCGACCACATCTATATGAAGGTTAATGACCGTATGAGCAGTCGATATCTTCTGAGACTCAGTATAATTACCCAGTGACTAGAGCAAACTTCGCAACAGACATTGTATCATAGGTAGGTATAGGTAGGTTCCTAGGTGGCAGAAAGGTTTGCCCAAATAAAATGAAACCTCAGGGCGCATCAGGGGTTCAGCTTGATGAGGTCCTCATCTCTCAATTATCAGATATGTGCCGGCATTCACGTACAAGGTAGGCTGGCTGCTAGGTAACCACCATCAGCCGCAGTTTGATATCAGATGTAGAAGCCGGGTTTCAGGGGCAGGGATTATTACGCCATCAACTCGACGACGACTGATCCTGGTATGCATTGATTACGCCGCATATGTCTATTATATCAAAACAAGAGAATGAACCGGGTGTGTGGAATGTTGCACGAATTCGAATTTACCTGCACTTCATAATATCAGTGCTTTTGCCGGGGCTTATGCAAGTGAAACCGGGAGGACGACATGACATGATGCATGTGATAAGGAGGAGTGGGAGTTATGCAAGTAAGCGCCCGCCGCCCCTGCTAGATAATATCCACTTAGGTATGCATATATGCATAGAATATGTATAGCCCCCAAACCCCCACGTTAGAAAGTCGCCTCCACGCAACAAGAGTAGGTAATTGTTATCGATTTAACATGGCAATTGGGGATGTTTACAAAGACATGGCTTAACGTTGCCCGCCCAGGTAGGTAGGTACCTCTTTTAGATAATCGATGCGAAGGTCGGGGGCGAAAAAGTTCGCACATCAGACATGTTCCTTGCTTGGTGTGTGATCAAAATAAGCAATAATTCAATACCGTATTAGCCTTAAGGCATGTCTCAAACTTAGAGGTGATCTACTCACTATATTGGGTAGATTACCACTATAGTTCAGGGACCTTAGCCACTAAAGAAAATTACTACAGACAGCCCTGTGCATACATATTTCGAGTTAGACCGCTTTGGTCCCGACCTTCGATCTTCATACACGCTGCTTAAATCGGTATTGAGTTCTTCAAGGCTCTATTGTCTTATATCTAAATAGCCTTCTTCGCGGAAAATGCAACCCTAAATGTACATAATTGGAAAATACATGCGTCTATCCTGTAACCCAAATCTAATGAAAAATGTATGATAAGAGAAAGAAAGAAGGTTCAAGAAAAGTACAGTATCCCTGATCGAGGGGGGGGAAGGAGGGGATGTTCAAGATGAGATGATCGGAACGTAAAAGCGGAAGCGGTTGTGTGGGTCATACTTGTTCTTCAGTCCTCTCAGTCTCTCCAATCGCCATGAATCGTACCCGTAGATAGATTCAAGAGACTCATAATCATTCCCGGTCGCGTAGTTTACGTACATCGCCGGCTTCTGTCCGGGCTGGCCAGCGTTCCAGAGATCCCAAGTGTCTTTAGCCCAAGTCTTGGCTGGCTCTAATAGGTTTGATCCCTTCGGAACAGTGGTCGTAAAGAATCTTCAAGAGCATCCATTAGTATTAGTTCAATTACATATGATAATGAGAGTCACGACGTACATCAAGTGGTTTTGATCGCGGTGGGGATACGCGGTAGAGGCAGCGTCTATATCCTGCATTCCCTTGGTTGCATAGCCTTCGAGATAAAGTCTAGAGGATTTCGCAAGATCCGGGTATAAGGCCAGGTTTTTGTTAAAAAGGTCAACTGTCTGGCGCTGCGCCGTGATGTTATAGGTTTTGAGCAAAGACGTAGCAATGGCAAGTGATCCAGCGACACAATTCGCATTACTGGTGCCTTGCGGAAAGATAATTTCCGGATAAGAGACATCACCGATCTCTTGAGAAAGAGCTTCAATTGCGTTAAATGGGCTCAGTATCTTCTCAGCATCGGCAGCAGGGCCACCGTAGGCAAAAGTCCACCAGAGAGTGGCCTATTATGATTAGAGATTTAGCGGTAAAGGGGGCCGGGGATTATGTACCTCTTTCTTGTTAAGAGTTTCATTCAAAGATATTTGCCCATAGCTCGCGCCTAATAGGACGGGTGTCTTTCCATTGTCTTGAATCTTGTTCAACTCCTTTAGCACTGCCTCAAGCTTGTCGTGCGTCCAGTAGTAGTTGTGATAGTGCCAAGTCTTTGACTGGATTGGGTAGATCTTCAGTTTGAAGCTTGTAACAATGCCAAAATTATGGCCAGCTCCTTTCATTGCCCAGAGGAGATCGTTGTTGCTCGTCTCATTGACAGAAATTGTAGAGCCATCTGCTAATACAACGTTCAGATGAACAATATTATCGGAAACAAGGCCGTAAAGGCCCTCGAGGCGCCCGTGACCTCCACCCAGAGCAGGCCCGGCAATACCAACACACTCGTTGGATCCAGTAGCTGATGAAAGATTCTATTAGGAACGTTGCCCCGGGTGATCTCTCTGGCTATGATGCAAAATATACATACCTGTAACGTAACCTTTATCCCATAGAGCGGGGATGACTTCGTGGGCCCATGATCCGGCTTGAAATAATGCAGACTTTTTATCTGACTGAATGGTCATGCTTTTCAACAGCTTCAGGTCAATTTGCACGCCCTTAAATTTGCTGAGAGACGTAGTGAAACCATGTCCACGGTTGACTGCTAGGAATTCGAGGCTGTTTTGATTGCAATATTTCACCTAAATATTCTGTTAGTCAGGTGGCCAAATCATTTAGATCTTATGACAATACTAACAATCTTCGAAATATCCGATTCCTCTGCTGGCTGCACCGCGATCTGAATGTCAGGGGGAGCAAGTGTGTTCCAGCGATGAGTGACATCAGCGAACGACGAATTTGAGGGTAGGTATATGGCTGAGTGGGAAGAGATGATTGCGCCCAGCTCTTTGGCAATTTGAGTAACTGGTACCTCACGACGCGTGAAGGGGTTTTTCTGAAAATAATGAGGCACAGTGTCGAGAGGTAAAGGGGAACTTGCTACAAAGGCCTGTAGTAGGGCGAGACCATAGAGCACATGCCGAGAAAACATGTTTAAGGTTGGAATAGAATCGATGAATCCGGGTGAAACTGTTCAAGGTGAGTAGAAAATGTCTCTATCCAAGACCTCTCGAAAGACAAGAGAACTGTCGACTTTTATAAACCAAGGTATTCCTTCTCAGTGTGATAATTCCGCCCGAATCAATTTATTGCTTCCACTCTGCTGAAATGGTGCCTGGCTCATGGCTCTACGCCTTGGTGATGCGCGCCACAGGGTCAACTATCGTCAGCCGCCTACTCAATAGTCAGCTCAGCTAGGTAAGGGAATGTTTAGCCTCATTGTAAGTGATGGCTACCTAACTAGGTAAGCTGAAAAGGAACTTGTATTGCCCGCTTGCAAGCGAAGCTCGTATTGGAGTCCAATGTGGAACGAAATCCTTATCCGAGGCTATGCAAGCCATATATCTGCGAGAGGGGGGCGCTTCGGCGAAGACAATGTCCATATCGAATACCTGAAGGTTGCAACATAGAGAGAATTCCATGTCAGCGTGTAGGATTATACATACCTAGACTCTTTTGAGACATCAATAAGAGGCTAGATCCTATTGGTTCTTTTTATATCTCTGAAGATCTTCTAGACGCTAATTTAACGTCCTTGCATTATGTACCTTGCAGATTATTGTGAGCATACAGAATAGTAACCGTCAATTTGAAACAAAAAAACAAAAAAGATAACACGAAAGCTTCACCTTGAGTGGGTACGCGACATCAAATGCGCGAGTTTGATATCGCGCGGAAGTTGAGCCATGAAGTTTATTTTCGGATACTAAGAGGCTTGGTCTAGTAATTCCGAAAGCTGCTCATCTTTCCAAATCAAGCCTTCCGGAGCTGTCTTCCATTGGCTCTGCTCATCTAGCAATTCCGATACCTTCTCCCATTCCTCTTTCACAACCTGAGCTTTTCGGGCGTCTCTTGGCGTTATCTTCGCCAGAAATGGCTTAGGAAACGTCATCAGACCTTCCACTATGTCGTCCATATCCGGAACAATATCTTGCTGGGTATCAGGATCCACGGCTCTACGGAAATTGAATGCCCAGAGCAAGCGAGAAATGGCCAGGAATAGCGAGCGATCCGCGATATGCATACCCTGACACCTACGTCTGCCCGCGCCGAACACAAAGTGATCTCGCTTGGTAGGGTCTGGGTTGTTTGCCGCGTCGATAGATGTCTGCTGGTCATCTATGTAACGCATGGGCTCAAACTGACGAGGTGATGGATGCCTCTCGGAATCATTATGTACAGCCCTATCCACGCGACAGGAAGAAATATTGATTAGCATAAAAACCAAAAATAAGTTGTCGTGTCGCACGTGTCTCGATATATACTACCGCACCTGTATGACCTGGTAGTGTGGCCCGCGTTTTGCCACGACAACGCAACTTGACCTAGTAATCAGCACTCACCAGACATTAAGTATCACCGTCGCATCTTTAGGAATGCGATATCCAAGATATGCATCATCTTGAGTAACGGCATGCGGTATACCCAACGTGAACGCGGGCATCCAACGCAGGCTTTCCTTAGTGCAGGCTCGGATGTACGGTAAGTTGGGCACGTCGTTGAGATCGGGCAAACGATCTCCGCACACGCGATCAAGCTCTATTTGAGCTGCCTTGGCTACTTCTGGGAAAATAACCATTGCTTGAATGAATCGTATCAAAATATTCGCCGTCGTTTCGGAGCCAGCTTGTAGCAGCGAACCACTAATATACGCAGCAAGTTCATCGGAGAATCCCTCACTCTTCTGCATTTTAACGAGATCCACACAAATACAGGGCTATAATTCATTCAAATTAACACAAGAGCTCTTTCTAAATCTATGCGAATATCACCTAATACCTTGGCTGTACCATTTTGTAGTCCTTGCTTTGCTTGGAGATAATGGGTTAAAAATAGCCCCGATTCTTTTATGTGCAATCTTCTCGCCTTGCGCTTAATCGACAATACCCAGTCTGGTAAGCGTCTCATCATAGGCATTAAGTCTAAGAAGACAGCAATCTGAAAGACAATTGGGATTAACGTTAGTTTCTTAAGAGCAAAGGTGCCCCGCACTCACCCGAGATCCTATTAGTTCGGAGCTTCGATCAAATATCTGAGGGTAGCGTTAGCGGCAATGTTTACTATAAGCTGGATCTTAACTGTATCAGGTACCTACGTCAAATGACTCCTTGAATCTTGGGTCCTGTATGGCAGTAGTACGAAATCCGAATGTCATTTGAGTGGTCAATGAAGCCGTATAGCGACGAATATGGTCAGCAAAATCACCCGGGCATTCTAAAAATCCAAGTAACATTGCCTTATTTTCGAGGTCCTGATATGGTACGTATGTTCGCGCGGCCGTAACGCTTAGAATGTGGTGCACGAACTTTCGGATCATTTTCCAAACTCCATTGTTTGGCTGCAGATAACATATAACGATTAGTGCCACACTTCCAAACTCAATTTTCCTGATGAATATGATATGCATGGGTTTTGGTTGATATACCATGAACAGCACTCTAAGCCCTCCGCTAAGAACATCTTGACCGATATAGGACTCTGGCCTCGAGGAATAGATGGCACCTCGCTTATCTATTAGGTCTCTGATCGCTTGGTCTGAGTTGAGAACAATCATGACTTTAGTTCCTAGCATAAGTGAAAATATAGGACCATACTCCTGGGCCCATTTCTGAAATTGTATATGGCGCTCTTCTCTTGGTATCTGGTGCATGTTACCAATGAGGGGAAGAGTGGGTGGACCTGGAGGATAGTCCCTAGGCCGACGACCTATCTTGCTGAACTGCCAAAGTATAACCACCAAGGCTATAAGGCCAACCAAAGAAGAAGATGTGATCATTTCAAGAATCTGGATGTTGATGATAGTCCGTCTGAATTCTGTCTGCCCAGAGGGAATGTAACTACCTAGACAAGTAGGTAGGTAGGTATGTTTTGTTATCGCATTTGGCATCTACACATACTAATACTGTACCTACCTACTCAAAATTTCACATCTCGCCTGACATATCATGATTTTATTGATTCTATAGAGACTCTTCCTTAATCCCTGTATTGACTTACTATGAGATGCTCATATGCGTAGAGGGTACCTACATAAACTTAGCGGGCTGACAGATTTGTTGATGTCAATGACATCATATGTACCTAGTAGGTACATAGATCGATCCAAGCTAAGGAATACCCGATTCGGTAAGTCCTTCTATTTCTGTGAAATTTGATTGGCCAGCTACAGACAGGGATGTTTTAAAGTAAAGTTTATGCTTCTCTTTCAGCTCAGCATCTGAAGGCCTTTTGTATCATGTCGTGTAACCGGGAAATAATAAAATGGGCAAGTTTCCCCTCTTTGAAGAGTTGAGAGAATTTTCTAACACTCTCTTCCGAAACAATTCTGCCGAATGTCCCGCTTCATCAACCACTTCTAAGATGCATTATAAGGAAATGGAGATGGCATTAGTAACCGCTGCAGATTCGGCCATAGCGCAATATCCCGAAATAAACAAGAACACCGCTTATGCACAACGTCCTTCACCGAACCGGAAATCAAAGGGACCTGGCCTTCGGTTATCTTGGCCCTACGCTAGTGATGGTAGACGCTCCGTGGTTGGCAAGTCGCCGCCTGTTGTACAGCCGCACAAAAATGGCTCGCGTCGGGCTTCTGACATGCGTATTGTCCATGTGTCATACGAAAATGTCGAAATGCATTATCACTTTTCAGATTTAGGGCCGACCGGTAAGCCACCATGATCAACACGAGAATCGTTTTCGCCGGTTTTAATCTAATGGGCTTCTAGAATCCGCAAGGCCGATTTTACACATTCCGCTGGCGTGGAATCCGTCAGATTTAGAAGTCGGCGAAAAAAACTTGTTCCAGTACTGTAGGTTCAGCTTGCCATTTTCAGCCACACTCGAGCAGGCTTACAGACCATTCCTAGTCCAATGTACTGCCGCCCAGTCCCTTGCCACCTTTGGCTATAATCCTGGGGATCTTAGTGGTGTTCTTATCCGGGTTGCTCTAGCTGGTCACACAACCTCTGCGACGGCAGTGCTCCAGTCACTTCTAGCCTTCTCATCGATACATCGCCACGATGTTCACTCACAGGCAGTGGAGCTTAAGATATCTGCGCTCAAAGCCTTGGCAGCTGCGGCGGGCAATCCCGTCGGTACTGTAGAAGCAGTCCAGCACGTTGCAGCAGGGATGCTGTTGTGCTCTTTCGAAGTTAATATATATCCCGGTCACGAGGCTGTTTGGTAATTATGATATGCTGACTTGGTTCCTTAGATCCACCAATCATCATGTACATCGAGTCAATGGACATGGTATCTCTCCGGCGTCAAAGACGTTATCAAGGCAGCTGGCCTCGGTCGATCACCTCAAGATAACGATTTAGCCATCCTATTAGACTGGGTGTACTACCATGACGTGTTAGCACGTTTTACTTTGAGGCATTGGCACAAAGAAAGCAATGCAGTTACATCGGCTGTATCAAATGCCCGCGCAGAAGTGCGTAAACAAGACCGGCTGAAAATGAAAGATGCTGACAGATAGTTGCCAGGTTTCCCATGCAGCGCCTTCTGCTTTTTCGGTTATACAGCTACTGTCGGATGTCTGCGATGCGGTATCCGCGAGATCAGTGGCCGGTCAGCCTTTTGAAAACATAGATGATCACAAAAGCTTTCTGAAGATACTCGATTGGAGGATTAGGAGCATTCCCCTGGAAGCCATTGTCTGCGATAGTACTGACGCGTCATTGATGATAGAGTTGTACCAACTAGCTATGCTGGTGTACCTCAACCGAGCGTCTGAAAACTTGCTCAGTCAGACAACTAAGACGCAGCATCAGATTGACAAGGCTTTCAGTATATTCTCCCAGCTGGACTCCTGTGACCGGCAATTTCCCATCTTCATTTTAGGATGCGAAGCGCGTGGGGATGATCAGCGAGCGATAATTCTTGATCTGATCACCAAAACTGAGAAGAAGGCTTCCTCTCGGTCATTCAACTATGTCAAGATATTATTGCAAGCCATTTGGGCACAAGATGATCTTGCTAATGGGCATATCAACTATTGCGACAAGCTAAATTATGTAATTAGTTGTTGTGCAATTGTACCATCCTTCGTTTAGCTTTAGCAGTGAATAAGATGAATTGGACACCAAATACCCCGCATTCTTTAGTGCAAAGAGTGACAATTAGGTACTATATTACCGCTACAAGGCCTGTATGGGCCAAGAACATCAATTTTTAGGTAGATACCTAGGTAATGGATTGTCACAACAAATCTTGTACTTGTCCATTCCTAAGAATTCAATTACGTCAAAACTTTAGATTATCCCTTGCTTCCTACCATTCGTCTTCCGTCAACATTTTCCCTTCTTCAATCTCTCACCCTTCAACACTCTCAAAAGCCAGGATCGCGGTCAGAATGGCGACCACCTTTGATATTTCGCCCGAGAAAAGGGCAGGCCAACTCCATTACTATTACCGCCAACTTTTTGTCACTCCCCAGCCTGTATTACGTCGCAACGCAGGATTAAGCGGGAAAACAGCTATCGTAACGGGATCTAACAGTGGAATAGGGCTAGAGATAGCAGGCCAGCTTGTAGATCTAGGATGCAGCGTCATTTTAGCCGTCCGCGATGAAAGCAGAGGCGAAAAAGCCCGCCAGGAACTGAACAGCACCCGCAATATTCCACCCGATATAGTTCAAGTTTGGAAATTAGACATTTCGTCCTACGACTCCATTTCCACCTTCATAAGCCGTGTCAAGGGCTTGGAAAACCTCGATATAGCCATCCTCAACGCCGGCGTGTATAAATTTACGGAGTCATTTAGCTCGACTGGCTACGAAGAGAGTGTGCAGATAAATTACCTATCTAACATACTCCTCATGATCCTATTATTGCCCATCATCAAAGAGAAAAGAATTGGGAGTGCTCCCGGTCAGATTTGCCTGGTATCATCCGACGCGGCTGCCTGGTCCAAGTTCGAAGAAAGAAGCTCGTCGCATTTGCTATCAGCATTTACGACGAAAATGGCCAATTGGAATATGGCAGACCGCTATGCGACATCAAAACTTCTTGGGCAACTATTCATCACAGAGCTAGCGAAGCACGTCCCCCCGTCAGTTGTTACCCTTACTGCCGCCAACCCCGGATTTTGTAATGGCTCAGGCCTCGGTCGCGAATTCCATGGCATTATCTATCTCATTGTCATGATCCAGTTTTTCTTCCTCAGTAGGACATGCGCTGTTGGGGCCCGCACAATAGTTCATGCTGTTAGCAGTTTTGGCGAGCAGGCACATGGGCAATATATTGAAGATGCAAAGATTCAACCGTGCGTATTATGTAGTATTATTCAGTCTAATCTCTAAGATTAACTAACATGGATTTCTCAGCATGCCACCCATCATATACAAACCCGAGGGTTTGCGTCTTGCGAAGCAGCTTTACGAGGAGACTTTGGATGAACTTTCTTTCGCCGGTCTCAGGGATATCATAAACCAGGTGTCAAAAACCAAGTAGGGTACACAGCAGTTTCAGTCCAGACTTGGTACGATGAAGTGGCGATGCCACTTAATCTTGAAATTCCACCTGATTTTTGTAGATTCTGGTGGCTGCTGGGACCCCCACGGAGGGGTTATGCGATAAGGCGGAAGAAGAAATTGCTTTTCTGACATTTGGGTTGCTTTTTTGGCTGTTGTTAGGAGATGGCGGAATGAGGTATATTAATAATGCATCGAATGCCGATCTCATTAATCTGTGTAAAACTGACCACATTAAGAGTACGTACGTACACGATTGTAGTTACACAAAGACTTGTCGGTATGTAAGCGACCCACTTTTGATACCACCCCACCAGAGATCCGGGGATCCATCCATGTATCCAAGATCAGCACCCATGTGGGTAAAGGCTAACGGGGTTAACCTTGCAGTAGCTTGCATCCAAGGACCACTTATCTGTACTATTACCGTGATAGCGCTTTTAGTGAGGTACGGCTTCATCCGCATCGTAACACACTGTTCTTGTAGGCCGGCAGGCCGGTAAGGACCTGGCATGGCATCATATGAGAATAGGTATCCTTCAGAGGTCTTATTTGCATGATGACGGTCATCTACGCAATCTAATTTTATTTTATGTGATAGACAGATTCCCTTAAGATTCCTTTCGTTAGTATGGCGCGTGCTTGGCAACTCTGGCTTTCACCACGCCCGTTGCGGCGGACGGATACTCCCGCCGAGCCATGTATGCTTTCACCAAATGATGCGGCGCTCTTTGAGTTCTTGTACGATGATAATAATCGTTTGATCGTGAGAGAAACTCACTACGCGAACAACAAGGCTGTACAGGATGGAGTCTCTGGCCCATCAATGTAAGGCTGTCCTAATTTTAGGTTGTCTCATCTCATCACTATCAACACTCCGACTTACAACTCAAACAGGCATATCCACTTACGACAGACTGAGTACTTTGAAGTTGAGCAGGGCACGTTAGGCGTTGTTAGAAACGGGAAAGAAGTCTTACTTACGAAGGACGACGGGGTTCTCGATATTCCTCCCGGTACCCGGTGAGTCTCGATTGTTCAACTAAGCCTATTCCTGTGGACGTTCGCCAAACAAGAAAGCAGACACCGATTCTGGGCTCACTCAACAACCCAGCATGATCTTATTTTCAAGGTTTGGGCTGAGCCCCAAGATGTTCAGCATGGCTTCGACGAGAATTTCCTGCGCAACTACTTGGGGTATCTCCGCGACTGTCAGCAGCAGAATATCAAACCATCCGTTTTTCAGGCAGCACTTATCTACTCAGCTAGCGACACGATCTTCATTACCCCCCGTTTTTGGGTCCCCATATGGATTCTCAAGGTAATCCAATATGTGGCGGTTCATCTGGTAGGAGAGCTATTATTAGGGTAAGGCAGTTAGTGTATATCTCCAAAGTATCGAAGCTAAGGTCCATCGTGTGGCAGGTATAGATCAACGTACCCTGAGTACAATACGAAGTCGCGAGGCTAGTACCATAGCAAGAAGAAAACTGTTGAACTAAATAGAGTGGCGGCGTTAGGGACCTGATCAGCTCGGCTATGCGCGGCGTGACACCACCACAATCCTTCAAGGCTTTATCGTCTTTATTAGCAGGCATAAAAATAAATGATTCTACAAAAAATTGATTGCTCACACTACCATGATACATACCTACCTACGTACTTAGGTGATTATCGGAGTTCAGAACAATAACAAGTGGAAGTGCCACCACAAGAGCTGACACTCTCACACAGCTAAGTTGAATCCTCTAATAGCAGCCACTTGATTACCTAGCTTACTTGTCTCTCGTCCGGGTCTTGTCCCGGTCTCGTACACATAGTTCTTAGCAAGCACTCTAATGTGCCTCATCATGGGACGATGATTAGAATAATACATGCTTATTCTTCAGCTGGAAGGATTCAGGTCCAGGACGAATTCTAGAGGGAAGGCCACGTTGGTCTTTCACTTGTAGCTGACGCTGAGTATCGTTGATTAACAATCATCCAGAGAGGCACGATTTCTAAGTGTCTACCTAAGTATATAACAGCTTGAAATTACCTAGTAATGTTTTGAGAGGAGGATCATAGACCGTATACTCAGATACCTCATCAATCAAGCTGTTTAAACCGCACTCTTTTACAATGCTTCGCATCGTTCACCTGAGCGGGAATTTTCCTGCCTTGGCTTCTACAGCATGGGTTTCACTACTCTGGCTTTCGCTCTGGTCATGTAGAACGAATGCTGCTGCTGTTTCGTACATTTATCCTCGTATCGATATTGCGCCTATTTTGGCCAACCAGACATGGTCACCAAATACAATCATCTCATCTGCCGGTTCTCCAGGGTTCTTCAACGCTACAGAACGTTGGACTACGTTTAGCGCCCCGACTTATAGCGCAGCCATTAGTCCAGACACGGAAGCAGACGTAGTAAAAGCCGTGAGTTAACCAGGATATAGAGATACTCTAAAGAATGGCTGATAACTAACACCATCTAAGGTGAAACTAGCAACATCACATAAGATCCCATTTCTCGCCACTGGAGGACGTCACGGATATACTACTACCTACGGGAACCTTCACGATGGTCTAGCTATAGACCTAAGCCATTTCACCTCGATTAAATTGGACAAGACTGCTGAAACGATCACCGTTGGGCCGGGTGTTACTGTACGCGATATATTCGACCCTTTATACAACGCCGGCTTTGACCTTCGTGAGTTTTAAGCCCTGGAGTTATGCCCCTTGAAGATTCTAATTAGGAATAGAAACTGGTAGCGCTCCTTGTCCCAGTTTGATCGGAGTCTCGCTCGGTGGCGGTGTTGGTCGATATCAAGGAGTCTATGGGTTAATCACAGATGCACTAGTTTCTGTGCGTCTGGTCACAGCGAACGGAGACCTCATCGAGGTGTCGCGCAATTCGCATCCGGACTTGTTCTGGGCCATCCGCGGAGCAGGCGCGAATTTCGGCATCGTCACGTCAGCGACTTATAAAGTCCACCCGCTAACCGACGGTGGCGATGTCTTCGTCGCCGAGTTTCTTGTTTCGTCTGAACATATCTCTAAGTACTTTGAAGCCGTAGAGTCGATGAGTCCTTTGCCCGCAGAATTAGCCTCGATAACGATATTGGGCTTTAACAGTACCACTAACAAGGTATGTTTACCAGAAGACAATTATTAAAAAGCCATTGTGATACCGATATTAACTTTATTAGACACAAGCTCAAGTGCACTGGGCATACAAAGGACGTGAAGATAAAGCCCGCGCAGCCCTGGCACCGCTTCTCAATCTCAACCTTGAAGTCACCCAAATGAAAGTCTTCCCATGGAATAAGCTTGCCAGTGCCACACTCGGGGGCATCGTCGATTCTGTTTGCAAAGACAACATCAACCGCGACTTATACAGCTGGAACTTCAAGAATTACTCGGCGTCTACGTATACCGCATCATTTAAGAAAATGGAAAAGTACTTCGCAAAGTATCCCGGTGGGCGTGACAGTATCCTCCAGTTTGAATTTTTCCCAAACCAAGCTATGGCGGCCGTGCCCGCGGACGAGACCGCGTTCCGGTGGAGAGATTCAACTGGATACATGTAAGAAGATACCCTCTCCACCAAGTGAAGACTGACTAACCCACGGCAGAAACTTCAACATGTTGTTCGACGCCGGAGACAACGTCACGGAGAGCGCATCAATTGCACTTGGGCTTGAGCTCCGAAATGACTTCATAGCCACGTCGGGATACCCGGAGCTCACGGTGTTTGTCAATTATGCGCATGGCGATGAGAAGTTGGAGCAGATCTACGGGAAAGATAAATTGCCCCGCCTGGCGGCGTTGAAGAAAACCTGGGATCCGAATCACGCCTTCAGTTACAATAATGGATTGCCCACTCATTATCCCTAGGTACCTAGGTAGGTAGGTAAGGAATGACGGGTTCTTCTCAGTTAGATTGTACGGCTGGAGAGCTGTTTTTTATTCTACATTGTATAACTACTAGATACTAGATACTCAGGTACCTATTTCTTTCATATCCACTACCATAGAGATCAATACTAGAATACCAGTACATTGCGGTATAAATTAGGTACGTTATTAATTGCATGGCTTAATTTTCTTGCCTATTCAACGACTTACAACATTCATTTCGAATGTAGAGATATGGGGGACGTGGGGGTGTCAATATCCTATAAATATAGCGTGATCGGTAGGCTTTGCGGGCATCGGGGAGCACTTAGGCAGCCTTGGGGCGTTTTGTTCCACTAAATATGGCGTTTTACGCACATGAGACACAATGATTAACAGTTTATCTCGTACTACCACACTTACAGCTGTACAGAGATAGGCTTTCACGTACCTAGCCCAAGTCGCAATGCACCCAGCTCAGTGAATGTATTTATTTCCCAGTGACTGCCCTTCAATTCTGGTCACCCTGCTATCTTATAAACCTCCCATGAGGTTTCTATTATGATCCAATTTGCTCATTTACTTAATCATTATTAGCTACCTACCTACCTATCTAGTCACAACATTGAGAAAAGAGAACAACATGTCCTCTGAGCTCGAAAGTCTAGCTGGCTTCGAAGCCACAATCTTCGGTTATTTGTACCGGTGGTTTACACCACCGAAACCCTTGCCTCAGGGCACTCATCTTACGAACCAAGTTGCTATCGTCACAGGAAGTAATGTAGGGATCGGACTTGCATCATGTCGACAACTTCTAAAGCTCGGACTATCCCACCTGATTATGGGCGTGCGCTCACAAGCGAAAGGGGATGAGGCAGCCCGTGAACTACGCAAAGAGTTTCCAACTCTTACCATATCGGTTTGGATTGTTGACATGGAATCATATGATTCTGTTCGTGCTTTTGCAGACCAGTGCGCAACCCTGCCGCGCATCGACATTGCTATCTTGAACGCTGGTTTGATGAAATCATCCTATACTTCAGTGCCGACCTCAAGCAACGAACTCACAGTACAAGTTAATTACCTCTCTACCTCCCTGCTGGCCATCTTACTCCTGCCCATACTTAAGTCGAAGAAGGTCGTCGGCGAAAGGCCACCGGTACTGAGCATCGTGGGGTCTGACTTGATATACCGAGTAGACATCCAGACTAAAGGTCATATACTCCAGCAATTTGAAAGTCCTAAGACTTATGACCAGTGGCTCTGGTACGCCAGGTCAAAGCTTCTTCTCACCTTCTTTACCTCCAAGATTGCGGAGCTTGTCGATGCAGATGATGTCCTTATAAACATGCCGAATCCCGGCACGACTAGGGGCACGGCATTTTTCCGTGAATTCTCCACACCTGCAGCAAAGTTGGTAGATGTGCTTCAATTCTTCTTTGCGAGAACGCTAGATGTTGCTGCTACTACGTATCTCGATGCAGCTATTGCTCGAGGTAAGGAAAGTCATGGAAGTTTTGTCAGCGACTGGGCCATTAAGCCGTACGTATTTCACCATACCTTTCAAATTAAAATACAAAACCCATATGCTGATACCAGTAGATACCCACCGATCTGGTACACGGCAGAGGGGAAGGAGTTTGGGGAAAGGTTATGGGAAGAGACAATGCAGGAGCTGAACTTCGCCGGTGCCTCTAAGATTATAGAGGATATGAGACCACGGCGATGATCAATGATCAATGATATTCATGCTAGGTATACATGAAATTTTCAATTGACATAAGATATCTTATTTTAAAATTTCCATATTGTACGAAGATTCTTGATCACCACGAAGCCTATTGAACTACAAGACGAATTTGAGAATACTACAGGGGAGCTGGTAGGGCTAATTGATCCCTGCCTACCCCGCATTGGAGGGGTATTTAAGGCTATTAGAGATCCCACGCTCTTTCTTCCTTCAAACTCTAAGTTCGCCAGTAATTGAAATAAGAATTGAGGCTGAATAGGTGCCCTAAGTTGACATTTATGTACCTAGGAAGTAGCAACCAATGATTCTTGTAGACCAAACGATGAGCTTGTTTACGCCCGTGAAAGCGTTCTATCTAATGCTGTCTAGCTACATTCGACGTCCATAATGCATCCATTCGCATGATGAAAGAAATAAACCCATATGAGATAAACGTTGCCCGAATAAACCAACCCGAAATTGGCAGGAAAAGGAGAGGCGGAGGTCTCCTGTTCAGTGAGACCCATCTATATTTTCAGTGATGTTTAGGTACTTACCCCACTAATTATTCGTTTCCAGATAGACACTTAGTGGGGTAACAAGGTGTGTTGGGGCGGATTACAACCACTGTTTGTTGCCGAGATGCGAAAGGAAAGCACCGCCATCTCCCTTTTCGACGCTAGCATTTTCCCAAACCGATCTCACAGCTGGAATGGAGTTTTCCGGAGTATCTGCACCTTTGAAATGGGGCGCAAACTTGAGGAATTTCTCCATTATCCCACCGAACTTCGCCAGCTGTTCCGGGGTTGCTGTGAAACAAATTAGTTTCTAATTACATGCTTAATATACGTATACGGATTGGGAGTAAATCATACAGTTGGAGTAGTGGCCGACGTCCACCATCCCCGGGCAGATGCTTAGGAAAAGGACGCCATCCTTCTTGTACTCGGCGCTGAACTTGGCCGTTACCATGTTCATCGCCGCCTTGCTGACGGAGTACAGGACGCTAAGGTCCAAGTCGTAGTTGGCTGTTAAATCTAGGTCTGCAAGACCACTGGAGATAGCGATAACCTTCTTTGTCTTGCCCTTCAAAATCAAAGGCATGAATAGGTTATAAAGATGGATGTTGGCGGTGACGTGGATGCTGATCAGCTTGTTCAGTTCCGCCTCGAGCTCCTGAGGTTTCTCGCCCCTGTTGGATTTGATACCTATGTTAGTTACCACCGTTGTATTGAAGCATGTCAAAGTACTAAGTAGGTGGATAGGAAACATACAAAACCGAGATGGGGTCGTAGGGATCGAATTGAGAAACGCGACCCGCGTTTGCGACGAGGTAGTCAATGCTACCACCCGTAATCTTAGCAGTATCGGCTGCAGCTTGCTGTCAAGATCTGTTAATACCTAGTATTTTTCCCTAGCTGACAATAGCTGATCGCAACGGGGATATTTCTCCATACCTTCAGATCATCATAGCTGGTTACATCGGCTTTCAGGATATGAATGTTGGTTCGTGCTTTTAGTTCTGCGTCTTCAGAAATCTTCTTGACAGTCGTCGCCTTATCTCGGACGATTCCAACGACGGTATTGCCTGGTTCCCCGGATATTTGGCGAAGGAACTCGTACTGTTGGTAATAGTTAGTTATTAGACCTGATGATGTTCAGTCTTGATCTCTCACTTACACCAAGTCCCTTCGAGACACCGGTGATGACGTAAACGGCCATTGTGGAAGAGTGGAAAGCGGATGTGCTGAAGAACTTGAGATAATAGTTTCTAGAGAATTAAGTCCGTAGATATGCGTATGATTTTATCTTTGATGGTTCTATCTTGGGATTTTAGAATTACCAGAGTTCAATTGCAATTATTTTATATTTATTTAATAAAAACAATCAATTACCTTAGTTGTGGCTCAGGTACTACTTGGTACCTAGCATCTTTATGATCTGTAAGCAAGGGTAGCTGAGTATTTGGTAATAGTTGCCCTCAATGTGATCTGGGGTTACACATGCATGCATGACCCACAATCATTGGTCCCTCACATACCTGGACCCATGCCTCCTGCATGCAACCTTAAATCCTACCTGTACTACATGATGCGTCAGTTGGCATTGCCGAGATCAAATTCCATCAATTGGATGTCTTACATAAAAGTTGCCCAATTTCTTGTTTCTTGCTGCCTCTACATATTATCAGCCTAGGTACCTTCATGATTGCCCCAACCGTTCTCGTCCGGCTTACTTGCAGACGCCGGATTCCTTTTTCTTTATCCTTTTTGTTTCACATATGTTTGCTAGCATCTTTCATAGCCTCACTTGCCTCACTCACATCACTCACACAGCGCACACCGGCTTACAAATAGGTTGAATTATTAATCCACCGGTCAATATGGAATACAAAGTAATAACTCTCACGCCACGTACTCAAGTACTTCGTATCACATGTAAGTACAATGCGTATTGACATATGAAGTACCTAACGATAGAATACAGCTTGTTGGAGCGGCCTTGATTGTTACACTCATTGAGACACCTCAGGGCTAGGATTAACTGACAGTTGCCTAATGTTAAATTGCTGTAGTGCTGCAAGTTTCCGTGGCTGTTAGATTAAGTGTGATGTCAGCTCTATTGCATCTACCCGGAGAGATTATTCGGTGGCCCCTCTCCAATGGGCTTCTCACTCCCAATTCAACTTGATACTTACAGCCCTGTTTCAATTCTAATCCCAGCTGACGGCTATGAAAAGAAACTGGATGATGATTCTATTATTGTATTTTCTTAAGTTCACGGGGTCCGAAATTACCGGGAACTAATTGATCAGGGTTCGAAGAATGATCTCGAACTTTGGTTGTTTAAATGGGAATACTGGTAATTAGAAATATAAGTAAACAAAGAAGTTGGTTTGCTACCACGGATTGAAAATTAGTGTCCCCGGACTTTTAAAATCGGGTTGTTGCCGGGTTGATAGAAGCTAAAATCCCGAGAAACGTGCCCTTTTTAATTCCTTTAAGGCCGTAATATAGTCTCTTCTCATTCTATATCCAATCTGGTACACTTGTCAACCCCACGGTCTTCAAAATGGAGAGTATTGGCGATCCAGTGCATTCCAACCTCGACTTAACGGAAAGAGGTGGTGAAGAATCGAGGGACCCCCGTGCCCCAAGCGGCAACCACCATGAGAAGGACGAATCTTCGCATGGTTTTGACTCGAACCGCGTCTATGATCCCGACCAAAATACAAAACCGGAGGATACAGAGAGGACTATCCGTGGCCTAAAAGTTAGTACCTAGCGTCTGATACTGCTAGCGGCGACACAAAACTAACACATGCTCTATTCCAGTGGTTCTTCGCCTATTCGTCGCTTCTCTCCACGGTACTCTTTTATGCCCTCGACGGCACAATCGTACGTTACCCGATTTTCACACGCCAGGGTTTGTTCCAAACTCACCAATAGCAGGTTGCAGATATCCAACCATCCATCATCGACACATTTGGTGATACTGGGAAGCTATCATGGATCGGCGTAGGCATGTTTCTAGGGGCTATCTCGATCCTACCAATGTGAGTTCTCAGTGGGCTTTGAATCACTGTTATATCGCTATTGACGCCTTGGAATAGTGGTAGAGCGTACGGTATCTTTAACGTGAAGTGGTTATTCCTCTCTCTAGTAACTCTCTTCGAGGTAGGTAGCGCTGTCTGTGGCGCTGCGCCTAGCATGGATGCCTTCATCGTCGGTCGAGTCATCCAAGGCGTTGGTGCGTGTGGATGCTATTCGGGCGCCATAACGTATATTTCTATGACTACTACCCAGCGCGAACGGCCCCTTTATCTATCCGGCATAGTCGCTACGTGGTCTATCGGAAGCGTTCTAGGACCAGTAATCGGTGGTGCGTTTGCCCAAAGTAGTGCGACATGGAGATGGGCCTTTTACATCAACTTGATCGTTGCGGCCGTCACTGCCCCGAGTTTAATCTTGTGTTTGCCCAACATCGACCCCGCAGCGCATTTGACGTTCAAGGAGAAGCTCCGGACACAGGATTGGGCGAGCATATGCATATTCCTGGCTGGATCCGCATGTTTGACCATGGGTCTTACCTTTGGTGGGACCTTGTACGCCTTCGACAGTGGATCTGAAATCGCCCTCTGGACTGTATCGGGTGTCCTACTCATCGCCTTCGTCCTGATTACTGTCTATCACCCCAAAATCCCTATTGAGAATAGATTGTATCCTATTCACTTGATGAAGAATTGGGAGCTCAATATTCTACAATTCGCGATATTTGTTGCCGCCGGCTCCATGGTCACGACTCTTTACTATACCCCTTTGCTGTTCCAATTCACCAGGAATGATGGCGCTTTGATGGCCGGCGTACGCCTACTACCATTTCTCGGCGGCATGGTTTTCTTCTCTGTTTTGAATGGCGCATTGATGCCGAAGCTAGGTTATTACATGCCTTGGTATGTTCTTGGTACTGCCTTGATTCTCGTGGGATCTACGCTTATGTGTAAGTCACTTCCCCATGCTCTTGCTCTCACATCCTACTTGCGGGCTAATTTTAAAAAGACACGGTAAATGTATCAACTTCGGAAGCTCATATCTACGGATACACCGTACTTCTCGGAGGAGGCTGCGGTTCGTTCTTCACGGCGGGCTTTTCTGTAGTTCAGATCATGGTCCCGGTTTCAGAGCTTAGCAACGCTATCAGCTTCATGGCCATTGGTAAGTGATATCATTTTACTTATCAACAATCGAGCTAACCGGCCTTCATAGGGCAACAAATGGGTCAAATCATCGTTCTTAGCTTGGCAGGTTCTGTCTTCCAAAATATTGGCACGAAAAAGATAGCCGCAGTTCTTCCAAACGCTTCAGCGCACGACGTCTCCCAATTGACCTTAGGCACCCACAGTGCTATTTTCGAATCTCTTAGCCCCGACCTTCAGGCCAGTGTGATAGAACAAATAACCCTAGCACTCCGTAATGTGTTTATAATCATGGTTGCCGTCTCGGCTCTTGGCTTAATATCGTCTCTTTTCTTAAAGGTAAGCTTTCAGCGTTCAGACCCGCACTCACAGGTACATCACTAATTCGGTTCATAGCGTCGTAAAATTTATTGATGATGGGATCAAGTAGATTACGATAACACGATTATTAGCATGAGTTGGATATCTAGATAGACTTTACATTTCATAGAGCTAGTTCCTCATCAAAAGCCATGATTATCCTAAGCATTCTTGTTTGGGCCTTCACCTTCAGGGTATTCAGCATACTCCTTCATGAGATGTCCCATATCGAACTCTAGATTTTTGCCATTGATAATGATAGGTTTGACATCAAGCATGGTGAAGAGCATACGAGCTGGCTTGTTACTGGATGTATTACGCCATCGATGCATAGCACCACGATTGATACATACGTCTCCCGGCCGAAGAACCCGCTTCATGCTAGGATCGTCACTCGTAGACAACTCAACCTCGCCCTCACAGACGGTCCCGATTGCGAGTGCGATGGATCGGTGTAATTCGGATCCGGTTCCGGGAGCAAAGTCAATCATCCGCACAACACATCCGTTGGGAATGTGAACGGGAGGCTAACCACGGATCAGACATGTGTTAGTGGCCGGAAACATTATCAGCATGAAATAACAAGAGACGAACCTGATTATTCTTGGCAAACTCAAGATCAGCATTGTTTGTGAGGTCCACGGGGTTTCCAGAGCTACTATACATGATGCTCTGGGCTGCTGCACCACCTAACATGATATCTCGATGATCTCCATGGTCCGACTATTTAAGAGAAGAATAAGCCTAAACGTCTTGACAAGTTTATGTTAGAGGGATCTGTCAGTAGCTATCTCACCTGTAAAATGACAGAGTCGCCCTTATCGTTATATCCAGTGATGTAACGGAACGGGTCCCGAAGACCTGGAGCTGGAAACTTCGTACATGGGCCCGAAGTTGACATGTTTGGGCAGATTATCAACTTATAAGATCAAGGATGGAGCAGGTGGTAGTTTGCTAGAGGGCTAGAGAAAGCGAAGTGGGTATACCAGTAGGAAATAACATAGATCCAACATTCAAAGATGAGACAGGTCTCAAGTAGCTACTTTAAATATCAACAAGTGACTGTCTCCATCCCATTGACTGGTATACACATCACTACTACTTACCTACTTACCTATTTACAACTTTCAAACCCCCGGTAACGCCGATAACTCCGATAAGAATCGATCATAATTGGATGGATGCGAGTGTCTTTCTTCATATTGACTACCTAGGTACCTATACAGCCCTACGTCGAAGGGATTTGTACCTATTATCTAGCGCGCCGAAGAGTTTCGCCTCAATGCTGCAGGCTACACAACACATGACTTTACACACCGCCATCGGCGTTATCCCCAACTTCCACCACATGTCTGCATACAGATAAGGATTATAAATCGCGGAATCTTTTCAGACGCGGAAATGATATCGTGACGCAGGCATACACAAGTGCTATGCAGAGATATGACTATATACGGTAGATAATGACCTGGTACTCCCATAAAACGATACCCCAGATTCCAATATCCCGGTTTACTTACTACGTGGGGGGCCAAGTCTATAGCGGGTAGATAAAAGATCGCGTATCACGTCACGCAAAGCCTCGTCGGATGTTGATTGAGAACTTTGGTGTACCCCAATACGTCGTACAGGACTAGCGGGGAAATTCTCTGCGCAACGAGGCTCTCTTAAGACCGAAAGCCAGTAGGGTTGCAACTAAGTGAGGGCGGCATGGTCATCGACGGGCACACGATCTACAGATGTGTATCTCGGATTTATGCGCTGTGGGCGATTTGGAGAGATGTGCATTGATGAGCCCATTTACAAGTTATGGGAAGTTTAGGTAGGTTAGGTACGCAAGCCGCGGTAGCCAAGCTAGGAATCTATAGCCGGTGCGTGATTTGAAAGTTTGGCAGTTTTCTGGGTATTCTTTCCTGTATCAAGGGTTGATGAAGATGCAGATAACGCCTCTCTATACAGTATATCATTTATTGTGTATCCCTGCGTCTCCTTCCCACATACTCGATACCAACTCTACCTCAACGTGACTAAATTAATTCAACTATCATCTTTGTCTAAGTCAAGATGGTTGTGAAAATGACAGCAAGCACGGCGCCTCTTCCAGAATATTATGTCAATAGTTTTCCTGCTCCTGGGCTGCGCCAGATAGTTCGACACATCACTAGCAACACCGCCGATGGCCAATCCCGATTCCTAAGTTCAGACCATGGAGAACATTACCGTTTCATGGTTGAGAACCAAGCGGTGGCCAACATCATCTATTCTACTAGAGAGACTCCTGTGGATCTCAATGGGAATGTGGACGTGGCCAAGGCTCACGAACAAGAGGTATTCTATCTCTCAGACAAACTAAGAACATACTTCCCGTTAATTAACCATCTATACCAGCCCCCATTCCACTACCCAAATGGATCAATAGTCCGTATGATCGACTTCGGTCCAGGGGTTGAATCTCCCTTTCACCGAGCGTTGACTATTGATTACGGCATCGTCATTGAAGGAGTCTTCGAACTTACCCTTGATTCGGGTGAGAAGCGCATCTTACGCCAGGGTGACGTGTGTGTCCAGAGGGCCACTGCCCATAAGTGGAAGAATATCAACGGTAATGGCACACTACCGGGTCGCATGCTATGGGTTCTACTTGATACCAAGGAGCTTGTTGTAGATGGCAATAAGGTGGATGGGGATCTAGGAGATCTACACAAGGAATATGCAGGACGCGGTCATTACTAGACTTATATCATTGCGGCCTTGAATGTCTTGAATGCTTAGTGGGATAATATGCCTGTTAGAAGATAAGTAGTAAATCGATATATGATACCGAAAAAGCAACCTATCGGGGTTGATATGATAGGGGTAACGTATCGCATTGTCTTTCGCGTACCTTTAATATGTGTCCCCGGATGGTTCAACTTCCGAAGAACTTTTCTTGCCCCTAGATCCCGCTATATCTGCTGTAAGATGATTCTTAGCAAGTTTAAATCCAAATATCTTCGCATCGCGGGGCTTTTCTTTAGTGGCTAAACTCTCCAAAGAGGCTCGGTCTATAGCGGCTCCCCACTAAAGCTTAGCGGGCAGATCACTATCAGCTCTGAATTTGAGCCTATTATGTAGGCCCAATACAGTATGAAGTGATCGCTTATTGAATCGCGCACCGAACGAGAGACGTGTTTTGGCCGGAACCTTCGTAGCGGATCGTGTATCTCGATAAAGACAACGAGGAAATCTTAGACACGACACGCCGACGAACATGGCCCTGAGGGCTAGCTTATATCTCTCGATGACATAACCTCAAGCTGAGCTCAGTATCATAGTGCGATTAGTCAACTAAGAGCCGACAGATTTCTAGACCGGTGATGATGTGAAGGTGGGCGTCGGCTTGGCTATTGAAAACTATTGCTGTCACGCTCGCACTTCATACTATCTCGCGGGAGTAGACGAACGAAGGCATGCTTGTAGTGATGGCGACGTCGGATTTTGGAAGTGCTGTAAGTGTTATTAGGTGTGAAAAGGTTATGATGATCCCGACAGCAGAGGCACAATGCTTGGAAAGCTGTGTTGGAATGCCGGGTTCGCGACAGACTCGTGATGATTGATGTGCATAGAACTGGGAACACTTGTAGAATGGTCCCCAAGAAATCCACATGGGTTGAAAATTGATCGCGATAGCGATAATTAGGAACTTAATACTAGTGCTGGCTACACTAGTACCCATTATTAGTACATTCATCTCAAGCTCCTGTTCGCTTCGGTGAACGCACTACCAGGTCCTACAGTGGTACCGACTGTAGCAAGAGAGCCACCAGCAATACCACTGCCTCAGTGATCCCCGCCAACGTAATGGTATTACTCCTAGCGCTACGTGCCTAAAGCTACAGCGGCTGTCTGTTAGGACCTACAGTCCACTACAGCGGCAAAAAGCCCCAAACTCGGCTGCTTTGCGAAGATTTCCCTACCCGCATAGGACATCGTGCATTCGAAGAAGACTAAACCTCACCAAAGGTCATCACGATTCCTATGAAAAATGGGGATATGTCGTAGCTCAAATTTCTCGAACATAGCGAAGGATTAGGAATTATAAAGATATGCAGCCAGCAAGATCAACAATCCAAAACTGCAGATGTACCTTTGAATAGGTAATTGTCGGTATTCATCGAAATATGTACCTAGGTAGATTCCTCCAGAAGGTACGTCAAAACAGTCGCAGGGTATTTCCCATCGTCATCTCAACCCAACCAATCCCCTGTCATATATGTGAAATACTTAAAATCCTATATATATTCAAAACTCTCATCGCTCGCGTCACTCTCGTCACTCTCGGGGGGATATCTTTGTACAATGAAATGGGGATCCGTCCAATATATCAATCCCGCCATAAGCATGTTGAGCAGCTTCCTCATAGGGGACTGTTGCGGGACATAGTGCTTCGTGATATCATACCTAAACATCAATAAGACATTGCCGATAAAGTTAAGCAATCGAAATATCCTATGTTCACAGTTAATCAAACTAGTTCATCTTTCCTCATAATCGAATCCTCCTCTCCTAAAACGAATTCATGTAGAAGACGAAAACTTCAAGTCGAGTAGACTCACATATTAACAGCATAAAAAACCAGCGCCGTAACAGCGCTCCGCTTAGGTACCGCCCCCTCCTCAAGCCCCCTAGCAACCGCATACATCGGCGGAACCCACAGCCCCAAAATAACCAATTCCAGCACCCCAACGCAATGATAAGCCCTCACGCGACTTCCCCCGAAAGCCAAAACCCCCATACACACCCACATCAGCGCAAAGCCCGCCACAACCGGGGCGAAAACCAGCATATCGCCGCGAAAGTAGACGAGCGAGAGCGCGGCAGCCACGACACCAACTGCGAACTGCGCGCACCCGAGCCACGTGAACCACCACTCCACGCAATTGTACCGGGCGAGGCAGGCAGCGTGGTATTTGTCCTTGGAGAGGCACGGCGTCACGGCCTCGGAGACGTGGATGGGCCACCTGCACCAGCGACATATCCACGCCTCTTGGCCATCAGCGAGGGCCACGCGGGTGTCGACGTGGAGATCGTGGGCTAAGACAGCGCAGCGGAAGCATTTGGAGCCGAGGGGACGGTCGTGGGCGGATAGGTGTTGGGATTGGGAATGTGGTTGGAGGATCAGGCGATCGCGGCCCGGTCGCTCGAGACAGAATCGGCAGTACGAGGTTAATTCTCTGGAGAAGAGTTCGTCGCCGCCGAAGTGTGCGCGGAGGAAGTCTGGGTTGAGGAGGGCGCGGAAGTGTTGGCATGTGCGTCGGAGACGCTCCATGTCCCCGAGGTTGAGGTAGGATGCGATCATGTACAGTAGTTCGTTTGGGAGTTCTAGGAGCCGTGAGCGGGTTTCGGTAATAGAGGATTTCTCGGAGATGTCATTTTGGAAACATGAGAAATCCCCACTTCGGATCTTGAAACGGGTGGAGAGGCAAAAACGGGATGGTGTGGGGCCGGTGATAGCTCTTTCCTGGTCCGGTATTGCGGTCTTCTCCCGGAGGTTATCGATGCCTTGCCGGACGAGCAAATCTATCCGCCTTTTTGGGGTAATGGTATTCATCTTCATCGGTCGCCTGATCCTTGCAACCGGATAGACTTTGATTGCAAAGAGAAATTCAATCCGAAGTTGTTTTAAACTCAATGCCAGTTGCGCAGAGGATCCTAGCACTCGTTTGCCGTTGGCTCTCTTTCGTCTCGAGAAATTTGACGTGGTTTCGGTATTGCTTAGGATTTATTTGCCTGATATTAGAGGTAGGTTATTGATTGCTTTAGTTGAAAAGGCTAGAGGAAATATAGTGAATTCTAAGACTTCGATATACACTATGCTGACAAGCTGCTTTGCAGTTCATTTAGTAAACAATTAGATACCTGGGTTAGGTAGCTCTTCAAGCTCCTCCGAATACTAAACGTTATAGGATTAACGAGCAAACGATGTTCACACAAAAAGCCAATAATCTCAAACAATAGTAGACAGACTTAGCTACGTTTATCGAGCTAGCCCTGTTGCTTTGTTTTCGCAAGATCAGTTTCAGTCATTCTGTTTGGCTCAGGGGATTCTTGCGTTGGGCATCGTGGCGAGGGGAAGTGACATGTATGGATGGCCCAGGTCTTGGCTACAAGCCGATGTGGTAATCCGACGGTTATCGACGAGTAACACAAATATTGTTGATCCATGCTAGATAGAACATAGCTCTTCATAATACTATTTCGACTGGGTAATGGAGACTCACCATGCACTAAATTAAGTTGACCGTAGACTCCTGAAACGAAACAATCTGGCTACGGTAAGTACATGGCATACTTAGTGTCCATGTAGCCAAACTCCCCGCAAGTGATGTTTTTCAGTGTTTGCAATCAGAGACATTTCATGAGAAGGGCTATTATTGAAAAGGACAAGGTGTAGAAAATTGATCATTTGGTCGTCATTTTAAAATCAGCCTACTACACTCTTTTGGATACATGTCCAGCTTTTGCGCCCCCTACCGTCTATCTGGTATCGTAATCGACAGTCAACTTAGCCCTACGAACCACCAGGTCCACCAAGCAGGGCGAATCTTCGCACAATTCCGGGTCCATATTCTTGATACTACGTTTAGTTAGTACTTAATCCGCTACCAACTTCACATCGAAAAATAAAAGAAAAACAAACTTACCTCGGCTTTCGTATGGCAGTATGATCGGAATTCAGGGGTCTGCCCCAATAAGCTGCCTCCAAACCAAGGTCCGTGTCGTTGCCTCTTATGAGTGATAACCTGAACCTCTAAACCACCACTCTTCGCTCCACCACTACGAACCTCACTAGCTCGGATTCTCGCATCTACCAAGTGCTTGATGTCACGTTGTAATCTTCGTCCGAAATCCTTGTAAAGCGTGCTGCCCCCGGATAATACGATGTTCTTGTACAATCCTCGTCGAACATCAATCGGACTTGATTGAATAACACCGTCAACAACAACGGGAAGTGGTGTCAGGAAATCGGAAGAGTATATTTCTGGATTAAAGAATATTTCGGGGGCGAGGAATCGCTCGTATCCCACGTCAACGGTGACTTGACGGCCGCCTGGATGCGCAACAACATGCTTGGCGAATCGAGTGCGGTCTCGGTCGAACTTGGAGAACTCCTTAACAATATCGGGACATACGTAACAGTACTCCTCCTTGATCTCTTGGGCTGTCTTTAGAGAGCTATCAGGCTCGCCTCGGTCGCGAAGTAGGGATTGAACAAAATAGGTGATATCTCGACCAGCGATAGGAATGGACTTGATCGAGGAACCAATGACGTAACCCTCGGCAACGGGAATGACGTGAGTAACACCGTCACCTGAATCAATAACGGTGCCAGTAAGGGATCGATCCGATACTTTTGCCGATGTCCAGGACGCAGCCAAGGCAAGAACAGCTTGGACGGCGATGTACAGACCAGCGCAGTTGAAGGATTCGAAGAAGATTTCGGCAGTGTTTTCTCGATTTTCGGGAGGATTTAAAGGCTACATGTAAACGTTAGCGCTGTTTTATAATGCTGGCCTGGAGATGACTGCGTACAGGCTCGGTCAGGAGGAAATAATGATCTTCGGGTTCGACACGCAGATACTTGAAAATAGAATTCGACCAAAATCTTTCCATGTGGTCCTATTTAGCACGTTAGCACCAAATTAGATAGCTGTGATCCGGAGCTTATACCCAGTTCTCTATTTGACCGTGTCGAATAGGGTAGTGTAGTCCGTAACCTATACCAGCATCAATTTCCCGGTCCTATTCGATATATAACGGATAGTAACCGACCTGGTCCATTCGAGGCGGCTATCGCTTCATCACCGATGAAGAAATCTAAGTCCTCGGTGCCTCGTTTTGTTGACAAGTGGCCTCCAGGACCAGCACCTCCTGTAAGGAAAGATGGTTTATTTGCTACGGCCGGTCGTCCTGACCCAGTACCTCCAGTACCACCAGCCTGGCCTTTCGTCGCTATCGCAGTCGGGAACACGAATGAGGGAGAATCGTTACCAGCGAAACCTATCGTCGGAAAAGGGGGCGGTGGGTTAGTAGGATTATAACTAGCGGTATACGGAGTCTACCGGAAAGCTCGCTCACCAAGCTTTGAAAATCCCGTGCCGCTATTTTCGAGTACATGTTAGCATAGCATTCCTCCCTATTCTCAAGTTGACGCAGCTCGTGGGAATAGCTGTCGATTGCGGGGTCAGGAAGACGTACTTGTCCATGACAACGGCAGGGGTTTGGTTAGCCATTATGAGTAGGTAGGAGCTGCACAAGCTTCCTAGAGTCTCAAATTAAGGCCAGTACAACAGTGAATGAAGATCGGGAGTAGTCGTGGTATTGAGAGGAACTCGTGGGTAGCTGTTGGAATTAGTTGACAATACAATGATGCGGCTCGAGAGTTGATTTAATTACGTGCCTATCGTGAGTTTAGGTACCCGGCAGATTGTGGCTGTGCATGTTCGGCGGGGCAGGTGGATTTAGCTACGTAGTATTACTATGTAGGTAGATGTGGCTGCTTCGCGGGATAAATGGAGACATTCAAGAACGGGAAACAACAGCTGTCTGCCACCTGTGACATCTTTGATTTTAACTTAGCCAAATAGCTCACACCTTCTTCACATATCAACTCGGACAACTCCCATACCTTTTATACGCCGAACTACATTTACATATTTCTATATGAATATCTTATCACACTCAACCCTCCGATCTATATTGATGGATCAATAATATCGTGAGACGTAATGGCGCCTAATAGACATCAATCGTCTAAATAAGACGAGAGAGAGTACTGAAGCCAAAGACTTAAACCTGAGAAGGTTCAAATCAGACTACAAGACCAGGGCAGGTGCTTCAACTCATTGAAATAAGAATATTGGAAGCTACAACAATTACGTACTAGTTATTATTACATTCTTATATCAGGAAAGAGCATTTAAACTCTTTCTGCCACTTAAGCCCCTAATTCTAGTCTCCCACCCTTACAGCTACTCCAAGATTTCTTAGCCAACTTCCACTTCGACTTCATCAAGGCTTCGGCTTCCAATATTTAAACCACCGCCTCGGTATTTTCAAGAATTATATTGATTCGTACATCCTTCTATGAGTGGGACATTTCCCAATATCTTCCCCATTCCTCAAATTATTACCTTAACATCTACCTACATACACTTCTATCCGCCCCATCAACTGTTAGTAGGGATACTTTAAGGTATCCCTCTAACAAGTTTGTTCTATCTTCATCCAGTCTTCTTTAGCACTGTTTACTCGGTATCAATTCTTCTATCTTTGGCCACGCTCAATCTCAAATTTCAAGACGGTTCATCTATCGTGAAGTTTAGCTTCAACGTTTTTAACCCCACGCCATTACCTACATGAATCGCCATTTTCATCCAGCATCCAAATTCCTCTATTGCCAAGGTGCTTACAGTGTTCAAGCTTTCTCTCTGGGTCCATAAACGGGAGCACGTTAACGACTTTCCATCAGAAACTTACGTATGCTCTTGGATCTGCTCCAGTGCCAGAGTAACCCTAGTTATTCGATTGGTTAGACAAACGTTAGAAATACATTCCATATTTCACAATCGCCAGTCCAAATATTAGGCAAACTATCTCTCTTTGGGCAAACAGAAACTCGTACACACTTTAGGACGTCCGCACACCCATTCCGCTCGTTCAGCACTTGGTGATTAGGTCTGTCTAATTGAGGGTAAGAGAAGACTCCACAACAGCAATCAGTTGCTATCGCAAGGTTGGTGTCTTCCACGATAGTAGTAACCTTGCGTTACAGCATGGACCGCCCCAACTCCCAAGACATTACTGGCTCAGATCGACACGAGACGGTTGATGAAAATGATGATATTGACAATTTACCTGGGAATAACAAACGTCAAAGATCCCTGCCATCGGATAGTGGTATTATCCCGTCTTTAGATGGAGCGGCAGATCGCTGGGGGAAGCGTAGGAAATTACCGGTGTCAGCTATTTTCATCCATGCTGGAGCCGGCTACCACAGCGCCAATAACGAGCATATCCACCTAGCGGCATGTAGCGAGTAAGCACATGAACCATTCATACAACTCTAAGACACCTCTTGATGGACTATTTCTAACTCTTAGTAGAGCCGCTCGGCTCAGTATAAAACTCCTGCGGTCGGGGCATTCGGCTATTGACGCTGTCGAGGCTGCTATCAAAGTCCTTGAGGACAAAGAGATCACAAATGCCGGCTACGGAAGCAACCTCTCAATCGACGGAACAGTAGAATGTGATGCTACACTAGTTGATCACCTTGGTCGAAGCGGGGCTTGCGGTGCAGTGCCGAGTTAGTAAATGGCATATTTCTTAAGTAATGTTTGAAATTGCTTATAAGCCTTTTTAGATATCAAAAACCCCATTACCTTGGCCAAGGTCATCCTTGAGTGTAGCAGCAGGCCTCTCTCTTTACGCCGCGTCCCTCCTAATCTGCTTATCGGAGACGGCGCCAAAGAATTCGCTCACGAATCGGGTATGGGATTAATCCCTAACGAGTATCTCGTGTCGAGAAACGCCCGGGACCGTTATGTCAGATGGCAGGAAGATCTGAGACGGGCCGAGGGTAAAGAATCCTCGACGCTGGAAACCAGTGGATACGATCAAATCGTCGTCAGCACCCTTAACGCTGAACCTTGCCACCGGGACCACACGAATGCCATACTAACTGGGACTTGGAATGAAGGCCAGCCGGATTCACCAGTATCGCCTTCGCCATGGGAAAGTGGTCCTCATTCGCACACTAATTCGCCTGTGCCAATCAGAGTCGGAATCTCGCCACAAACCTCGCCCGGAACCTTGGTCGATCGCAATCCATTTAATTTTCTCGGTTCGGCTCTCTCCAGCTCAAAGAATTCAGCGGCAAAGGTGGCATCGCCAACCCCGAAACGCCCCCGGTTCGTTTCCGGGCCGAGCAACGAATCATTGAAATCGAATTCCAGCACGTCAACACCCAATAATACCACCGGAGCAGCATATCATGACGGTGCTGGTTCGGATGCCTCCTCGGTGCCTTTCTCATATACAAGTAAAAATGCTCTCAATACCATAGTGCCCCAAATAAAAGTAGACAAGCCGTCACGAGACTGGGCTACCAAAGGCCAAAAAATAAAGGACGATGGTGTCGACAAGATCACCGACACAGTTGGTGCAATCGCAATCGATCAGTTTGGGAGGATTGCGGCTGGGTCATCTTCAGGCGGCATTGGAATGAAACATCGAGGACGAATCGGCCCGGCAGCCTTGGTGGGAATTGGAACAGCCGTCATTCCGGCCGACGTGCAGGATCAAGACGGTATGGCCGTTGCCGCTGTGACGAGCGGCACAGGAGAACATATGGCTACTACGATGGCGTCCCAGAAATGCGCGGAACGCATATTTCAAGGCACACGACGAGGGCCGGGCGGAAAAGACATGCCTGAAGATGACGAGAGTGCCATTCTCCAAGGCTTTATCGTCAATGACTTTCAGGAACACCCAGGTGTTAAAAATTCCTCCTCGGCTGGAGCCATCGGCGTCATGGCCGTAAAGAAAAGCTCCTCTGGGTATTACCTGTATTTCGCGCACAACACGGAGTCATTTGCCCTAGCCTCAATGGGTTCCAACGACCGTGAACCTCTATGCGTCATGTCACGCGTCGTCGAAGGGAGTTCCGTCATTGCTCAAGGGGCTAGGAAGATTCGCCTTTGAGTTGGTCGCATTGACGCACTCGACGGTTGGTCGATATAAAACCTGTCAGATCGAACCAATTCCGTTCCCTTTCACAGATTCATCAACTTACTTCCCACTACAAATCCATCCACTACCTGGTCTACCTTTCAACTCGATTCGTCCTCAAACCTCACTTTATCCTCATTATCTGTAAACCTAGATTGGGGGTGGATTACATTGCATTGGGATTGGTGTTCTTGAGATACCCTTAGATGGTCGTTTTTCACCATCGGCCGACGCCGTATCTGTCTTCACCCTGGAGAAATTGTCATCTTCGAGCCGTGATCAACTTTAGAAACAACAAGGTGGTTATTCGCGAGTAGCTACTAAGTTGAAACCATTGTCTAGCCGACTCCGGTATCAAACCCACCCAGACAGCTCAGATAGAATGAAAATAATTCGATGATTTAAATTGCTCCTACGGTAAGCCGACCGACTTACTGCGTACTGCCATCTTTTATGCCTTTATGATGTTCGTGATGTTTCATTTCATACAAGACGCCCGCCCTGTCTATGCAAATCCTGGGTCTAAGCCCCTATGATACAAACTCCTTCCTTTTGCCCAATATTGTCGTACCGGTACAATGACGCGAATCCGGAGCCTACCCGGGCACAGGCGTCCCCGTGGCGCTTCCCGTCTCCTCCCTTCCACTGACGCCGTTGATACGTGTCTTCTTTTTCTTCTTCCTGCGCGGCACGACGGCGGGCTTGGCGCCGTAGCTTCCGAGGGCTAGCTTCGTGCCGCAGGTTAGACACTCGGCGCCCTCGGGTACTTCGCAGAAGATGCTTAGGCAGATGCTGCATACGAAGCCGGTGTCGATGACGCGGCGGTGGCAGAAACAGGCTGCGCGGAAATCGACGGTGTCCTGGGTGGGCGTTACGAGAGACTTGCGGGCTTCGGCGTCGGCGAGGAAGCCGCACATTAGGTACGACAGTAGACCGCCTGGGTTGCTGGCCGCGGAGAGGAAGGTGCCGGATGTGATGAACGCGGCTTGTTGGAGGAAGGTCGGGGTGCCGTGGAGAGATAATGTGTCTACGGCGATGCGCGCGTGCGAGGCGGCGAATACGGCGTTCATGGTTGGGATGTACTGCGCAGGCTCGGAGTCCGATACTGAGAGTACGAGGATTCGCGAGTGCAGCGTCGCGGAGCTGGTGGCGCTGTTCACGGCTGTGGTGGAGGGAGGATTCGCTGGGTCAGAGGAGGTTTTGGCAGGCTCGAAGGACGCGGTCATCTTGTGGATGTAGGATAGAGCCATTGTTAGAGCGCCTGATATTAGGGTCGTGGGGTTGAGGTCTGACGGTCCGGTGCTTTCGATGAGCGTACGTAGAGAAGTTAGGAGCGAGGTCTCGATTTGTGCGAATTGGGGGAATTTGTTGGCTGAGGCGGTTAGGTCTGCCTTGTCCGGCTGTCCGTCTACGTCGGTCATCTCGACGTCGCTGCCGTTGGTATTGCTATTACTATTGCCATTGCGACGGTTGTCTGCGTTGGGAGATTTGGGGTATAGCCATACGGCGCGGTTGGGATGTGCGGCGAGGATGGCGACATGATTATCGTTGCCGTATGCGAGATGGGCGTTGACGAAAACGAGAAGGTTAGCGACGGCGTTAGCGATCGTAAGACGGCCCGATAGCGCGGCCCAGGCACGAGGGTTGGTGTCAATGACGATTGTTAGGAGAGATGGGATTTGATTGGTGGCAGAGGGAGTTTCGTTGTAATGATCCGAGGCGTCGATGCGATTCATCGTGCCGGTTTTTTTGGAGGTGCCAGCGCCTCTTAAGTCATAGGATGGATAACCTTTATAAGTCGATGCTTATTGTTAGGGATGAAAGGTTATTTCACTACTCTCTATCGATGGCGTTAAAATAAGGCGTGATACATAATCGTATCTAGGTGATCCATGTGGAATGGTAAAAATTGAATTTGTGAAGCTGGAACAAAGACGGTAAATGGTAAATGGTACGAAGTAAATTGACCGATAACGATAAAGATTTAGGTAATTAGCAATCCTCACCACGGTCAGAGCTCACTTACCTTGTCGCCTAACAAAGACCGCCTGTGCTTTAGCGCGCTTTCTGTTTGAATGCCGCGACGAACCGGGGTTGATCATCCACTCATACAGACGCCAGCTCACATGACTAATAACCTTAGAAATGGAAGCTACCGTAGTAGACGTCATCTTTTAGCAGATCTTACAGAACTATCACCCCTCCCCTGCCCAGGATACCCCCCTGTAGATTTCCTAGCCATTATCACATTTATCAGGCGCGTGCCCCAAGGTTCCGGGGCTTGATAACTCTATTGGCGTCGATAGTTTATAGCGGGGTAATTTTAGACTTGAAGAAGTTCTTGAGCGAATGAAGCTTCGAATTTTATGTTTTCCTTTCGTTCATACTTTGCCAATGTCACCACTAAGACGGATTATTCCACTTAGCCTCTTGGGGCCAAGCCATGCTCCGAAAACCTCGAAAACATCCCATCCCATCCGATTGTCCAACTGAGACACATGTGACAGGCCCTAGGTAACTGTTTGGTACCAAGAAATAGATGTATGTGGTTCCAAGCCTTGCAAGATATCCCCCACCTTGTTTTCATCATCATCTTTACTTTTCTATGTATAAGAGATATATGCATGTTTCTATTAGTTTTCTCTCTTTTGTATTTGAATCCATGAGATATCACATATTTGTCATAAAAAGCACATGAGGCTGCGGTGGCTGACATCTAGTCGATTTAGTTCATGTGAGTAAATTTGTTAGCGAACCGCCAAGATCTTTTACCTCCTTCAAAATTCATTGAAACAAGCCTCAGATCGTTTCCTCGTTTCTGGTTTGTGGGTTGCTCTAAAACACTTAGAAGCCTAGTTCATATCAAAATAGGTAAAATCCTTCATGATTGTCCTTGCGGCTGACCAGGATTATCGTTTCTACCAGTCGGATCACAGACCTCCAAGGTGAGAAAAGGTATGTGTGCGTATTCTTTGTTTCTAAGCCTCTTTGATATATTGTCACGCGTCCATCATCCTCCCATTACTCGTACCATACCATATACAAAGTTCCCATGCTAAAAGCGCCTTTAAGCTACAAGAAACCTAGTTCCTTGATTTGGATGCTTCATTTCTGAAGTTATTTACTTCGGTGGATATAAATACTCTAGTTATATCCTTCCCTTCTACCAAGTTCTCACAGTCATCAATTGCTACTCGGGAATACTACTCTAATAATAAGATATTGCCTTGCTGACGAGGCATTAGACTACCAATACGCCACTCCGTCACTACGCTTCACTCAAATTATCTAACTATCTTATTTTTCCATTCATCAGAGCTACCACTATTCAAGCATTAGTTGTTTCCTCCAATCCAACCTCATCAAGAAAATCTCAGAATAATTCTTTCTTGTCAAGAAACACAAAATCAAGATGGATGAGACACCTATCGACCTTACCTCCAACCGTGAGGAGATGGCCAAGTTGAACAACGTGGAACAAACGCAGCTCATACTTGCGCGATTAATGGAAGGAGGCCAAGAAGATGACGATACATGCCGAGAACTAGATCGCCTCACCAAGCTCTTGAACAACGATGTCGAATCTAAGACTAAGGAGCAATCTATATGTGATGTCATTGATGATGTATGTCTTGATACCATACTTGGCTATCTCGACATGCGACAAGCCGATTTAGTCCGAGCTCATGGAATCTTGACCACTTCTGCCTATCTCAAAGCAGCCGGCGACAAAGGCAACGAGGCTCTATGCAACTTCTTTTTCGATCGAGTCAAGAGAGGCACATATGACGATTATATCGTTGCTTTCTGTGTCGCCGCCGCTGTCTTTCCTATCGCACCGGATATTACGGCTAACATATTCCTCAGCGAAGGCTTTTTGCCAAGCTTAGACCCCTTGATGCGAAGAAAGTGGAAGAGTAGAAAGGTTGAGACAGCATGTCTAGAGATGCTCAACGCCGCTTCTATGAACTCGCAGTGTCGCGAGGCTATCCGAAAGTACTGCACTGACTGGCTAGAAGAAGTCGTTGACCAAGACCCTCGTGAGCTGGCCAAGGCCATTCACTCGGCGGATCCCGAGATTCAGGTTACCGAAGGTTCAATCGCTATGAGGAGGCATTCCGAGGCAGTTCAGAACCTAGCCGCAGTCATTCTAGCAAAATTGAGGGTAGGCACCCTAAAGCTTCCTCTCGCAACACCACCCACATTCGAAAATCTTCAATGGAAATGATTGGACGTGATGAAGAATGGAGTTGGACTGACCTGAAGGCTTCAGGCGGTGCCCTCGTCGGCGCAACAAGCGACAGAAGGATCCGATGACAGGATACAACAAGCGAATACCAGCATCGAGGATCTCTCTAAAATGTTTAGTTCGGTAATATTAAAAGACCCAGAGGGCGACAAGCGACTTTCGGTAGAAGGATTAGCATATGCGACTATCCAGCCCGCAATTAAAGAGGAGGTTGCGCACAACAAGGAACTTCTGAAGACTCTTGTGAAAATTCTAGGTAATGCGCCTGCAAAATCGCCACTTACGTATGGGGCTTTAAGCATCTTCATGAATCTTACCCGCTATCAACCAACACAATCCGAGGAAGAGAAGAAAATGTCTCAACTGAAGGCTTACGCTAATGCCTCCGGAAAGTTGGGGCCGTCGAACCCTTTGAACGACAATGATCACGTTTCGGAGCGATGTAAACGAGTTTTTGAAGCTGGCATAGTGCCTATTTTGGTAACACACAGCCGTCATGGTTCCGTCGCATCGCTAAATCTAATCGTAACTATTATATCCGCACTCTCGGTCACAACTAGTTTACGAGGTCAACTTGCGCAGCAAGGAGCAGTGAATCTTCTCATTGCCGCCTGCACAGCTTTACCTGACTCCGAATCACAGGCGAAACGCACTTCAGCTCAAGCACTTGCTCGTATTTTAATTAGCACAGATCCTGCTCTTGTTTTTGGTGGAACACGCGCCCGTCCGATGAACACAGCCATCCGACCTCTCATCTACATACTATCCCCCGATCCCGCTGCCGAAACCCGAGATCTCCTACCAACATTTGAGGCTTTGATGGCGCTCACCAACCTCGCTTCGACGGATGATGATACGCGAGAAACCATTATCCGTAATGCGTGGCCGGAAATCGAGGAGCAGTTATTATCCTCGAACCACATGGTCTCTAAGGCTGCTGTGGAATTGATATGCAATCTAGTGCAGTGTGTCGAGGGCGTTGCTCTGTATGCGGCGGAAGATACGCAGGCAGCAAACCGGTTGCATATTCTGCTTGCTCTGGCAGATGCCGAAGATGAGGGAACTAGAAGTGCAGCTGGTGGGGCACTCGCGTCTCTAACGTCATTTGAGGCTGTCGTCACGGGTATTGTGAAGAGAAATCGTGGGGTTGAGGTAGTCTTAGGTTTATGCAGCGAGAAGAGCGAGGACCTACGTCACCGAGGCGTGTTCGTCGTCTACAACATGGTAGCGTGCGAAGGAGAACCAGGAACGTTGGCGAGAAAGGCGATTCGTGAGAAAAATGGAGTTGATGTACTGAAGGAATGCGCGAAGAGTAGCAGGAGGGCTGAGGTTGTTGAGGTTACGATTCAAGCTTTGAAGATTCTGCTTGAGCAGCAAGATTGAGATGCGTTAGATTGCTTTTATGAAAAGAGAGTTATCCTAGGATTTCGATTAGGCGAAGATTGCATTAATGAGATGTTAGAGAGTGCTATTCTACGGAAATCGTCGATTCGAAGACGCGAATCATTCTCTAGTACGAAGTTTTCGCAATTTAGTAGTAGTCATGGCAAAATATCGCGATCCTTTTTTATTACTTCATACCACGCCAATTTGTATGTACATTGTGTGACATGACGTATATCATCATCCCAAACCATGTATTCCTTATAAGTGTAAGCTAACTTTTCTATGGTGCATCGTTCCCATCTCATCCTAAAGAGTAGAGCAGATACTCAGCTCAACCAGAACATTGTATCATCCCATCCATAGGCACTTGTATATAAGTTCAGCATCCGATAAATCACAGCAACCCTACTCCTCATCAACACGATTCAAAACACAAACCCCCTCTACATGTCCCGTCTGCGGGAAAAAGTCAAAGCCCCGTAAACTCTCAATCGAGTACTTCGTCTTCTTCCCATTCCCACCCCCATTCCCCATCTCCAACTCAACACCCTCACCACCAGGCATATCCACCTCCCCACGCACCAACATCCCCACATCCCGCGCCTGCGTATGCACGTTGCAACTCACGTAAATAACCCTCTTCGGGCCGAACCGCAACAACTGGCTTAGGAAATCGGTATCGCACCCCTTGCGGGGCGGGTCGAGGACGACGACGGTTTCGTCGGGAGGGTAGCGTTTATGGATGGTGGGAGTGAACAGCTGTTTCGCGTCGGCGGCGATGAAGCGCGCGCGTTCGAGGGGGATGGCGTTTGCGCGCGCGTTGTGCGAGGCGTAGGCTATGCTGGCGTCGGAGACGTCGACGCCGACGCTGCTGCCGGTTAGGAGCGAGGAGAGGGTTATGGTGAAGAGCCCCGAGCCGGAATATGCGTCTATTAGGTTCTTGATTGCGGGGGTGGCGAGAGAGAGGTTGGTGATGTCGGTGGTGGTGTCGGTGTCGGGGGGCAGGATGTGCGAGCGGATGTAGGAGGTGAAGTCCGGGAGGATGGAGTTGTTGTTTTGGAAGAAGGAGCCGGCGGGGTTGTGGAAGACGTAGGATCCGATGTATTCGGTTGATGTGCCGTTGTTGTCGGTCACGCAGGTTTTAATGTCGGTGTAGGTGTCTGTTTCTACGCGGACGGAGGGGGCGTCGGGAGGTGGGATTGAGGGGGGGCGGGAGCGTGGGGGTTCTGTGGTTGAGGCTTCTTTTGGAGATGATGATGGGCTGCTTTCTCTCTTCTTTGGGACGCGCCTGGTGCTCTCACGAAGTAATATGGTGGCGCCGCGCGTGTATTTGCCGTACTCGACGGCCATACGTGCGCGCTCGTTCCTCATCCCAAGCCGTACGGCATCTGTGGCGATGGGACAGTCCTCAATATCTAACGTGTGTCGCTTGCCCTTGGGCATGAAGCCTATAGGAGGGCATTGTTTAAAAGGTTGCTTCGTCTTACGCCAGCCCTGGGGGGCGTCGAAATGTGGCGTCAGTTTAGTGCGGTAGCCGTACTGTAGCGGGCTGCCCATAGTGTCCTGGATTGTGGGGATGAGCTCGGGAGGCAGTTGGGAGAAGTTCCGGTAAGCCTTCTCGACGATGCGCTTCTTGAGGCGTAGTTGCTCGGCATAATCCAGCATTTGAAACTGGCATCCCGAGCATGTGGAAAAGTATTTGCATTGGACACGACTGTCATCGCGGGATGGGGATGGTGTCACCACTGAGATGAAGTCTGCAACGGTATACCCTTCCGATTGTAGGTGGCGATATGCTTTCACCTTGAGGGTGTCACCAGGGATCCCAAACGGCACAACATAGATCCTTTTGGAGCCTTTCTGTAAGGCTAACCCTTCTCCCGTTGATGCGAGCTCGACGACATCTACGTCAATTTCGGAGCCTTCTTCTGGCAGGATTTCAAGTGCAGCCTCATCTGTCTCATTCTTTCCATCGTCATCCTGAACCAGGGACTCTTTAAGACTCTGTATATCAAAGGCTAAGACCTCTTCGTTGGAACCGGTGGTCATATCCCTCTCCCTCTTACGGGGCTTCTTCTGATACTTCTTTTCTTTCTTCATCTTTTGCTGGGGATGAGATCTTTTCCCGCCGCCATTTTTCTGACCAGATTTTTCCTTTGGTTGATCTGCCATTTCCAACCATTCGTTGAATTTGTCTAACGATATAGGCTGTTGGGCTCCAGTTTTTGTAAATTGCGGCCACTCCTCGTTATTGAAATCATCAAAGACAGGAAATTCAGGTTTCCTTTTCTTAGCGTTTTGCTGTTGTTGAAAATGAAATGGTCTAGAGCAGATGAGGGGCTTAATTAACGATGATGGATAAGAAGAAGTCAGAGGATGTATAGACCTGTTTCCTCTCAGAACCAATCGCGAGACCACTGTGGTGTAGAGGCGCATTGGTTTCAATATCTTGTTTCCAAGTTTTTTTTTCAATGTCTTTTTTTTCTGAAAATACTTTTTTTTAAGGTTAAGCATCTGAAGAATAAAATATCTTTGGAATGCCGGGCCTCTGATTGGCCCTCAGCTAATCGTTCTTATCAGTAGATTTGCTTATCGCAGTAGCCCCGATATCTCCGTACATGCCCCGCATAGGGCTGAAAATAAGTATTGGCTCTAGAGAAAGTCCATTTTCTGTTCATTACAACTCAACTTTTCATCACGCGGGCTTTCCAGATAACGGTTACGAGAAATGCAAAATGATCAGAAATCTCATGTCGATAGGATTCATATTACCTAACGCTAATTCTCCTCCCGTCTATCGCCAGTAGTCCGTGTATAAAGGCTTCGTCTGAAGATGACTCAAGTTTCAAAAAGATCGCGAAAATGGATCGATAATCTCCAGTGCACCCTAAAGAATATCAACTCAAAAGCTTAACGGCTACTGCCATAGGATCAATTCAACCATATAGATTCAAGTTTCTTGGTACACTCTGGGAAATATGCAGATGCCAAAGAATCCGCTGTTAGAGCCTTTCTATTCATGCAACCAATGAATCTCGCCTTGGACGCCTACATTCAAAGAACTTAATAAATCGATCTAGGGTGGACCATAAGCCCGTATCCGCCAACCTGCCAATTCAATTAATGTATTGAAATGTACACAGTATTAATAAGCAGTATATATGGAACTTATATTGTGCTTTATGGTTTATAAAGCGTTATTAATGTTTAATGATAATATTTTTAATATTTAAGTAAATATATATTTATTATAAATAAGAATATTTTTTATTTTATAAAATTTTTAATTTAATAAATTAAAACGGAAAAATAACGTTGATTTTTATTATTAAATTTTACGGTTTATTAATAAAAAAAAAAATAAAATGAAAATTATATAAATAAATATTTATTAAATTTAAAAAAAAATATAATTTATTTTTACTTTTTATTAAAAGTTTTATTATTTTAATAATATTATATTTTAATAATATAATTTAAGTTTAAACTTAAATTATTTAATTAATTAAATTTTTTATTAATATATTTTTTAAATTAACGTTAATATATAACGCCGTATATAAAATAATCGTAAATGGATATATTATTTTTATCGATTTTATTACGTATTTTTTAAGTTAAATAATTTTCCCGATTTTATTTTAATTAAGTTAAAACTTATGAAAAAAAATAATTAAAAAATTTATAATTAAATAAAAAAAATTATATTAAAATTAATATATATTTAATAAAAATATAAAAAAAAATATAATGTTTAAATAAAATTTAATTTTATTTAATTATATAATATTAATTATAAACATTTCTTAAGTAAATATATTAAATTAAATTAAAGGAATTTTTTAATATTTCGCTTTTTTATTAATATAAATTAAAATAATTAAAACTATTAATTATAAAAGTTAAAAACTTTAAATACTTTAAATTATAAAGCTTTTAAAATAATAAATGAAAAATTATTTAAGTGAAAAATAATTAATATTATTATATTAATATTTTAATAATAATAGTTTATTAATAATGTTTTTAATTAATTAAAAACCTCGTTTCCGAATTTAAACCATATTATTAAAATGCGATATTATTAAAATAACAAGGCTTTTTATTAAATATATATTATATATTATTTATTTTTTATTTTATTTTTTAATTTTACATTAATATTTAAATTTTATAATTTATTTATTTAATTAATTTTTTTATTTTAACGTTATATTTAAGTAATTATTCGAAATTTAACGCGAATTAACGTTAATAAAATTAATCGTTTTATTATAAAAAAAATTATAAACTTTTAAAGAAAAAATAAATTATTTAATTATTTATATTTAAATTTTTTTTTTAAATAAATATTATTAAACATTAAAATTATAAAACTTTTTATTTTAAGCATTTAATTTTTAAAAAATAATTAAAAAAAATTAATATTTATTATATTAAATTTTTAATTTATTTTAAAGTAAATATATTTTATTTTAATAATAAGTTTTATTTAAATATAAAATATAATAATATTTAAAAAAACTTATAAATATAATAATATTTAAGTAAAAATTAAATAATTTTTATTAATTATTATTTATATTTTTATTATTTAAATTCCCGATATTATTTTTTTTACGATTAATATTTAATTTTTAAAAAAAATTACTTATTAATTTAACGTATTTAATTTAATTCTTTTTTTTTATTAAATAAAATAATAATAATAATAATAATAATTAATATTAACGCCGGAAAACCGTTATTTATATAATTATTTTAAAACTTTATTAAAAGTATATTAAACGTATTAAATTAAATTTTACATTTTACATTTAAATATAAAATTTTTATAATTTATTTAATAATTTATATTTTTAAATATACGTCGTAACGGTTTATATTATATTTTTTTTACCGAAAAACGGAAAAAAAAAAAGTATAAAAAAACGATATTATTAATAAAATTAAATATATACTTATTTAATAAAAATTACGTTAAATATAAATTTAATTATTTTAAAATATTATTATTAATATATAACACCGTTTTTTAAATTTATTAAAAATATTATTTTTTATATTTTTATAACTTTTTCGTAATAATAATAATAACGATAATAAAAATTATAATAATTAACTTTATTACGAAACGAAATTAAAAAATTATAAAATAATAACATTATTACGCGAAAAGTTTTTAATTATTTTTTTTATAAAAAATACGGTATATATATAAATAAAGTTTTTTATTTATTTTATTTTTAAAATTAATTATAAATAAAACTTTTACGGGGATTTTACGGGTTTAATTTCGATTTTATAAACTTTTAATTATTAATTTAAAAAAAATCGATATTTAATAAATCCTTTTTACGTTTAAAATTTTACTTTTAAATAATAATTTAAATTTACGTTTTTTTAATTTTAAATATTTTTTAATAAAATAAATAACTTTTAAATATATAATTATTTAATAAATAAATTATTATAAATAAATATTATAACTTATTTTTTTAAATAATAATTATTTACCGTTAAATATTAAAATTATATATATACGTTTATTTAATAAATAAATTAAATTTAATATAAATATTAAAAAGTTAATTATATTAAAAATATACGTATTATTATTTATTTTACTTTATATTATTTAAATTACGAAACGAAATTAAAAAACTTAAAAATAATAACGTTATTACGTAAGGAATTTTTAATTATTTTTATTATAAAAAATACGATATATATATAAATAAAGTTTTTTATTTATTTTATTTTTAAAATTAAAAGTTAATAAAACTTTTATAAACTTAACGAAAATTTTATAAATTAAATTTTAATTTTATAAATATTTAATTATTAATTTTTTTTTCGATTAAACGTAAAATAATTTTTATAAATAAAAATATAATAAAAAAAATAATAAAATAAATAAATATTTAATAAATATATAATTTTTATAATTATATTTAATAATATAAAATTATAATATTTTTTTAATTAATTAAAACCAAGTTTTTATAAAAACTTTATTATTTTAATAATATAATTTAAATTCGAATACGTGTTTTTTAATTAATCGAAATATTTATCGATAAACCCCCGCATTTTCGAAATTAAACTTAAATAATTAAGTATATAAATATTATTTACGTTATATAAAACCGGAAAAACGTTAATAAAACGTATATATATTATTTTATATACATTAAATAAAAAATTAAATACCGTAATTTAAACTTTTAAACTTAATTTTAAAATTTATATTTTTTCATAATATTAAATTTTTAATTAATTATTTCGCATTTAAAACATTTTTAAAAGTTTAATAATTAAAATAATTTAATTATTTTTATAACACGTTTTCGAATAAACTTAATTATATTAAAATTAATAAAAAATTAAATTAAAATTTTATAATCGAAATTAAACTAAATTAAAATTAATTCGAATTAATTAAAGTAATAATTAATTTTTAACTTTAAATATTATAATTAAATAAAAATTTAAAAATTAAAAAAAAAATAACATATAATTTAAATTAAACATTTTCGATTAAATTAAATTAAAAAAATTAAAACATTAAATTAATTAAATTATAAATAATTAAAATTAATCGAATATATAATAAAATTTTAATATAATTTAAAACGCGTTTAAATTAACGTTAAACTTTTTTTTAATATAACACGCGTATTAATTAAAATTATATAACGCGAATAATATTAATTATAAATATTTTAATATTTAATTATTTACTTTTTTTAATTTTTAACGAATATATAAAATTTACATTATTTTTTTAAAAAAAAAAAAACTTTATATTATATAAAATAATTTATTTAATTTAATTTAATTTAATTTATAATAATATATTTTATTACATTATTATTAATTCGTAACGTTATTTATAATATTTAAAATAAAAGTTAAAAATATTTATATAATAATTATAATTATATATATAACTTTAAACTTAATTTAATTTAATTTTAAACGATATAATTTTTATTTATATAAAATTTCCTTTATTATATATATATTAAAAAATTTTAACTTAAATACTTAAAAATTTATTTAATAATAATTTTTAAAATTATTTTCATTATGAAAATATTATTTATATAATAATTATTTTAAATTTATATATATTTTATATATTTTTTTAAATATATTAATTACATTAAATTTAAGTTATTTTTTTTTATAAATTAAAAACATAAAAATAAATATTTAAATATAATTAATATAATATAACACGTAAAATCTTTATTATTTATTTTTATAAAAATGTTTTTTTAAATAATTTTTTTTAAAACTTTATTCACTTAAATTATTAACTTAAATATTATTTTTTTAAATTCCCATTTTATATTTATTATATATATTATAAAATTAAAACTTTAATTTAATTTTTTAATTATAACGGAATATATATTTTAAATTATAAATGAATTATTATTATATAATAACTTATTTATAATTAATTATAATTAATAAATCGTGATTATTTTTTAAAAAATAAAAATAAATATTAACATTATTAAAAATAATATTTATACGTTTAATA